CTTATCAAAGAAAAAGGTAAGCTTTTTATCTACAAAAAATAGATATTGTACATGTATTAGTACAGTTATGTTCACTTTCAAATTGACCTGTTATAAATAATGGCACAACCAATAAATGTATAAGCCGTTTTTTAGTAAAAATAATTATACAATATATAAATTGTTATTTTGATTAAGGCTATGAGTATGTAAGTTTTTTTCTTATTTGTTTAATTAAGAATTAATCTACCTGTTAATTAAAAAATCTAAAAGTATCTGTCATGGTTAAAAACTGCTCATAATTTAGGGTAGAAAATGTGTAAGCGGCCAGAAAGCTCAATCGTACGGAATGCCGTTAGGGCCATTGCCTATGAATGCGTTGATCTGAAACGCGATAGTCGATAGTACGATGGTGAAAACGCGAAATCACGAAACTACGATGTTGAAAACGCGAAAGCACGATGATGAAAACGCGAAAGTACGATGATGAAAACGCGACAGTACGATACTACGATGATGAAAACGCGATAAACTATCGTGTTTTCAACATCGTACTGTCGCGTTTTCACCATCGTAGTTTCGTGATTTCGCGTTTTCATTATCGTACTGTCGTGTTTTCATCATCGTACTATCGTTTTCACCATCGTACTATCGCGTTTTCATCATCGTACTGTCGTGTTTTCATCATCGTACTATCGCGTTTTCACCATCGTACTGTCGCGTTTTCATCATCGTACTATCGCGTTTTCATCATCGTACTATCGCGTTTTCACCATCGCAGTTTCGTGATTTCGTGTTTTCACCATCGCACTATCGACTATCGCGTTTCAGATTAACATCTGGAATGCCGTTAGGGCCATCGCCTATGAATGGTTTGATCTGAAACGCGATACTCGACAGTACGATGATGAAAACGCGAAATCACGAAACTACGATGGTGAAAACGCGACAGTACGGTGGTGAAAACACGATAGTTTATCGCGTTTTCATCATCGTAGTATCGTACTGTCGTGTTTTCATCATCATACTATCGCGTTTTCATCATCGTGCTTTCGCGTTTTCACCATCGTCGTTTCGTGATTTCGCGTTTTCACCATCGTACTATCGACTATCGCGTTTTAGATCAACACATTCATAGGCGATGGCCCTTACGGAATTCCGTACAATCGCTACAGCCGCAGTACATTATTCTGTGGGTCACAGATTCGAGTTCAGGTCAAGCTGAAAGTTTTTCTCATCCTGTGACTGCAAATAACTTTGTGACTGCAAATAAGTTTAATTCACTTTACTCTGTAAACATCAGAAATTCAAGGACACAAATCAATATAATGGGGAAATATGCTGTGGTTTAGAACTGTCCATTATGAAAGAGGAAATGTGTAGCCGGCCGGATAACTCAGTTGATCTTCTGACAGTCATGGGTTCGAGTCATGGTCAAGCAGTTTCAGTCAGGGTTTAGAAGTGGTTTTTCAACTGACATATGTTTGATTCTTTTAACAGATTGTATTTAATTTGAAATGGACAATTGCAGTATTGTATGCATGATACTTTTAGATCTACAAAAGGCATTTGATACAGTTGATCACACTATACTGCACATGAAGAAGTTCTTCTTTTTCTTCTTCTTCTTCTTCTTCTTCTTCTTCTTCATGAAACTTCTAGCATCTGCGATAGGTAATGACATTCTTACATGGTTCAAGTCTTATTTCTGATGAACAGTAGCTGGTGGATATGGCTGGTACTCATTCTACTACTGCTCGAGTACCTATGTTGTTCCCCTGAGGTTCATTCTAGGTCCTCTTTTATGTGTAATATATGTCAATGACATGTCGGCAACCCTAAGAGCAATAAGCTTTTATCATATGCTGATGACTCGGGTATCCTTGTACTTGGTAAAATAAATCTGAAGAAATTCTCTCTAAATGGCATGACTCTTATTAGTGATTTGTTTATTGTCTAAAAATTGTCTTTGCATCTTAGCAAGGAAAGGCGGCGTTCAAAGTATTAAGGTGCAAAACTTGATCAATTTTTTTTGGCGTCGCCTTTGATGCTTTGCATCAATGCTTTTCTTGTGACATTTTTGATAATGACATAGTCTGACGGTGTATAAAGGCTTAACAATTACTTTGATGTGTCACGTAATGTTTTTGGCTATTGAATATCCTCCAGTGTGCAACAATGCAAAGTTACGGTTGTCTACATCGCCGTTTATGTCAGTTTTAATTGAACATATGTTTTCTTTTCAACCTACTTGGACCTATATTCCCTTAATTAAATAAATGAGTCCGCAGCGAAAAGTTTATTTACTTGCTACTTACTACATAACAACAAATGTAGTTTACATATGTAAGAAGACCTCATTTTCCGAACATTTCAATATTTTCTTGTAACCAAAGTCATGGGTTCAAAGAGCAAAGAGCATTGTACATGTTTACTTTGCTAAAAAGGATGTATTTCTTAGACATCATTTGTAATCGTATTTTCTTTCATTTCACAATTTACATGGTAAAAACCCAATGGTTAATACCGCAATTTCGTTAGGCTGAAAATTAGGCTTTTAGGAAAATTGGCAGCTTTAAAAAGTTGCCCCGTACTTCACTTCAGTGTTGTTCTATTTTTCTGGTCCTTCGGGATCATTGATGCCAGCACTATTAAGTGTTGAGAATTGAGTACCGCTCAAGTCGGTGCTAGGGGCGTGAGGGATGTTGCACTTATTCATTGTCCCCCATGTACAGACTCAATCAGACCGAGTCTTCAATTCTTATGTAATTTTGTTGTGATTTATGCTTCTGAGGGATCACTTTGTTTCCAGATTTTTAAACTTCACAACAGCAGGTGTTAAGTGCCGTGTGGCAGTTGTAAGTTGGGAGTTCCGAGGGATCACTTTGTTTCCAAATTTTAATATGACCAAAACAGAATAGGCTTATGACCAAAAACAGAATAGGCTTATGACCAAAACAGAATAGGCTTATGACCAAAACAGAAAAGGCTTATGACGAAAACAGAATAGGCTTATGACCAAAACAGAATAGGCTTATGACAAGACAGAATCAAAGTGATTAAAACGTAGCGGTAATTATAATTAATTGATGGAAGTATACAATTATGCAATAGTTATCGTTTATGTTGTTTCTTTTTCAGGTATTGATTGACGATGAACACTTAGTCCAGTACCTACACACTGTCGATCCTAACACTTCAAAATTGATTAACATCAATCCTTTTTCAAACACCATAATTAAGCTTCACAATATAACCTTAATATGGTATATAGACCACGATCGACTTATTAAAATTTATCAAAGCTATCCTTTACAAATTCCTACATATAACAAATTTAGATGATTTTACATATTGCAGCAATTTAAAACCATGAATTTAAAATAGTATTAGTGTAAAAACTGATAATAAAATGCTGAACACTGCTTAATTGTATACTCTCGTTTGAGTTTTTCAAGAAATGAAAAAAGACAAACTATTTCTTGCTTCATATTTCTTTTAATTTTTGAAACCCAGGGCATAAGTTTTTTAGTTTATTTTAATAGTTTACAGTGTTGATTATCAATATGAGCAAACATGTTTTGATAGATACCTTTTTATTTCATAGAAATACAAGCACAAAATGCTTTTGAGGTTGTTTATTAAATAATCGTCTTTTCTGAATACAGGATAACAGTAGAAGAAACATGTTTAAATAAAAAGTTATAAGATGTCTCATTATATAAACATAATTGATTTGCTTAGATGACAGAAAATAACATAAAGTTAAGCCATTTGGTTTATTATCCGGAAGTTACGACTTTTTTGGCAACAAGTTCACCTGCCACGTTCGTAAGCGTTTTGGTAGACTTTCCGCTGTTTTACCTCTGTTGGTGTTTTCCCATCCCTCTTTTTCCATCACTTAATTTTTCGAGCGTCCTTGAACATATGTAGTTCACAGCCGTCAGTGTATACGAACCTTAAAAAATAGCAATTTTTTAATTTTTAAACAATTGTCCAAATACTAAAACAATTGTTTGATATCTTTTGGGACCACAGAATAATGATATAATGCCATTTCTGGACATTACGGTAATAGTTAAAACAACAATTTCAATGATTTAGTGTCCAGCTTTTTTCATCCAATGAAAACGCTGTATTTCTTCAAAATTCTGTCCGCGTTAATTTTTCATAGAAGAAAAATGTCGAACTTTATTAAAATCCGTTCTTTAGTCTCCCTTCTTTTTTTCAAGTACCGCGTTTGACGAATTAAAGGGGCCCAAATAAAGCTTGACCCAAAATTTCAAAAAGTTTCCAAATTTCCCTTTGAAGAACCAGAGGAAATCATAACATATACAAAATTTGGATTCCTGGATGCTTTGGTTGGACGTCATAAGAGCATAGTTCAAGATAAACACGCACGCCGACTTGCTGACGTCATAGTTCATACGCCAAGACAAACACGCACATGCGTGTAGTATGGCCAGTCTCTTTACGAAACACACTCTTACGTTTCAAAGCATTCTAAATAACAGTAGAAATAGTTCGTGCTAAGCTATTTTGTACTTTTGCATACTAGGCATTAGTTTGGAAAACGAATCGAAGTAGCCGGCCATGGAAATTAAAAGAACAAAAATCTAACTGAAGTTTTTGTTTGTGCGTGTGTGTGTGTGTGTGTGTGTGTGTGCGCGCGCGCGCCCGCGTGCGTGCGTGCGCGTTTGTGTGTTTCTTTTATGGGGGTGTTATGGTTGTTGTTGTTTTTTTTCATAAAATGTTATTTTCAAATAATGAAAATCATATACAAGCACTTTAAAGGATAAACGGTATACATGTGTTTAAATAGTCTACCTTTTATAGTCTACAATACGTTATGTTTACCTGGTTGCATTAAAAAAAGGAATTTTGAGTACAGATTTGCTTAACAAAAAATAAAATGAGGCTTAAAATTTTGATAAAGATGTTAAAATTTTTCATCAAAATAGTAGAAATTGTATCTGATAATATGAAAATTGCATTTTGACAATTTTGAAGAGAATACGTACAATGTTCTCATTCTAACTTTAGATCCACAACAGTTAGCTTCCTTGGTGCAGCTTTCACTTTGGTTATATGCCGGAAGTCCAGGTTCACATTGTGAACACGTCTTTTCACAGCCACACCCTCCACAACAACCACACCCTTCAATAGTAAAACATCCAGCCATTATATTGCCAGTATAAAAAAGTTTTATGTAAACTCTCAATGCTTACTAGCAGCAATCACAATTTCCCACTGATACAGTTTGTTTGTTTTGTTAGATTTTATTTAAAGCACACCGACACTGTTAAGACCATATTGTTACTTTACAGCTTTGGTAAAAGAAAACCTCAGATTTCACACTGAACTAAAATTCAGTAAGTTTACTGACCAGCTTTCTGTCACGGAAAAATGTAACGTGACTCACGAGATTCGAACTAAAGTCATTGAGGGTCAAGTGATTTGAATTGAGCAACCTTTACAATTCTGATATGTAGGTCCATTCCATCCCTGGTCTGAAAATCGGTTCAACCAGACCTAACATTACACTGATGGTCACTTGTAATTTCATAAGTACTGTAAAATCATTTTTATTTGTGGGGGCACTAATGTTCGTCGTTTTTGGAAGGTCAAATCTTTTAACTTTAAACCCAAACCCAAATTTCTTTTATGTTGCCAGAAATTTGTTTTTGGAAAAAAAAAGGCCCAATCCCAAATTTTAAAAAGTTTTAAATTTTTTTTTATGAAAATCATTTGGCTTCAGAAAATCAAAAATGCAAGTACGATCTTACCCCCGTTTAGGATCTTAAAACTTTTTTTAAAATCACATAAAACCCTTTTAAAAGCTTTCCCTACTTGTTTTGTTTCAAATTTGCTTTGGATTATTTTTTTATTTATGCAGAACATGCTTTTAAAGACAACAATTTTTCTTTACCGGGAAAAATCAAACTCTACAAAACCCAGCCCTCTACAACAAAATCGCCCCTTGGTTTTTTTTTGGGGGGGTTCCAGTTGATAAAAGGTGAAAATGTTGTCGTCTCCCCAAACCCTGTTGATGTGCTGGAGCAAAGGGTTTTGGTCGAGGTTCCCTCACACAAAACCCATACTCACACACATACTGAAACAAAAAAAATTACCACAAATTTTATCAAAACTAATTGTTACAACAACAAGAATGAAAGTTATAGACATAGGCCTTGCTTATCTTCCACAGAATTGTTTTCAGTCACTGTTCCAGAACATTTTCTTAGATGTCAGCATATTAATTAACCAGTACTTAATATATGAAATGAATATTAACAAATTAATATCTGAAACTTATGAAATGTTAAGCTACTTTTATGTGTTTTTGCACCAATATGTCGAGTTTACCAGTCTGATCCAATAAGTCTATCCTGTTACTTATGAATGCAAGTTTTGACGTGATATCAGTTAAACATTTCATATAGCTTAGATCAAATTCGCTTCAATAGATTTAACTCATTAGAAAATTGTTAATGCATGTCATTTTCTATATTAAGACTTAGTTTGTGGGTTAGAAATAAAAAGATATGTAATGCTCAAATTTGTTATTTGGAAGACCTAATGATTCGTTATTGTAAAATAAATATTTTTAATACATATAGAGAAAATATGTTTAAGTTTTTTAAATTGTACACACGACAGGTAAATCTCAGTATGAAAACCCTAGTCTCATTAAAAAACCTTGCAGTTTTTAAAAGAATAGACCAGTAATAGGAAATGCAGCTTCCCAAATATATTTTATATTTTTCACTTATTCAAATTAGGAAAGATTTACTAGATTTCAATAAATTTATACAATAAAAGTATCATACTCAAAATATGAGCAAAGTTTCTTCTTTAAATAAAGCCATTTTCTAATAGAAAACCATAGTTATCATTTACTTACATTATTTCCTGTATTACACGGTGTATTTTGGGGAACGTCAATGCTTTCACAAAACACCAACAAATTCCCAGTTTGGGAAAACCGTGTAAAAATCGATTGGCCTGTATCCAAAAATTTTTAAAGATATCTTTTTACAGACAATGTCTTTTTTCTGAATTTGATTTAACCGTTTTTTAAACACTTAGACATAAAGAATAGATATATTTAAAATAAAAAAAATCCTGTCCCATATTTTAAAAAATAATCTATAAACAGCATTAAACTTGTATATTTTTTAAAAATTAATTTTAAAAAATTTTTGGATTTGATTTGACAATACTTTTTAATCTGGCTGTTAAATTGAAGCCAGTTTAAAAATTTTACTGATGAGGTGTTTTAAACAAAACTTCAAAAAACAACAAAAATATTTTGATTTTCCTCTGGAAGAAAAGGGTTGACATTTTCTTTTAAGGACAACAGGGCCCATAGGGGTTGGGCAAAAGATTTCGAATTTAAAAATTTAATAAAATTGTTTTCCCCTTGGTTTTTAAAGGCAATAGAAGCCAAGCTACTAAACCCGAAAAAATACAAAGGCAAAAAAATTTAAACAATTTTTTGGCAAAGAAAGAAAAATTTAAAAAAAGCACTCCCAGAGAAAAAATGATCATAAACAGGCCATATATATTCAACATCTAATTGTTTCTCTTAAACAAAATTTTAAACACAAAATTGCAAAATCTTTAAATTTTTAAATTATTTTTTTTTGTTTTTAAATTTTTTCCTTTGTTTGTCATAGAAATACTTCTCTTCTTTTGTACAAACTACTTACAAAAATTTATTTTAGTTTTTAATTTATGTTTTTCAACACATGTAAAATTATTAAGCCAAATTTTAAATTTTGTAAAAAGTTCAGGTTTGCAAAATTTTTTAATTTATACAGTTTTTTAAAAAATTTCAAATGCAAATTTTCCACTTTTTTTTGCAAAAATTTGAAATTAAAAATCTATGAAAAAATATGTTTTAATTGAAAAAAAAGGGGGAAAGGCCAAAATTTAAATATTTGGAATTTTTTTTTTTTTTTTTTTTTTTTATTTTTTTTTTTTAATTGCACCATAAAAGTCATACTGTGTTTTCCCTACAGGGAAAGGGAAATTAAAACCCTCCCCATATTTTCTCTGTGTACATGTATACCTAAAGCTTTTAAACGTTTTTTTAAATAAAAAAAAAAAGGACTGAAATAACAAGTTTAAAGGGTATTTTTCAAATATCATTTTTTGACAGAATATAGCTTAAAAAGAATAAAGCAAAAAAAAAAAATAAAACCCACAGAAGGCCCCGCTAAATTTTTTTTTGGGCCCTCAGAATGTCAAAAAGGTAAATGTTGTGAAATTAAAAACCAAAATTTTTTTGTATAGTGCCCCCAATGCTTTCCACCCGTTTTAATTGTAGAATTACCCAAATTTTGGGGAATTATTTTCCCTTTGAAAATTAATGCGCCTGTATTTGACCATTTAAACGTATTTTTCCCTAAATTTTTCGCTAAGTGTACTTTAAAAAGGGAATTTAACCGCTTCAAAAAAGCGGACTTTTTCCGACATTTCCCAACTAACGGGCATTGGGAGTCTGAAATTTTCGCTACCATTTTTTGTTTGGGCCTACAAAAAAACAAAAAAAAACCCCGAATCAGCAATTTTTGGAAAAAAAGATAATGAAAAAGTTTTGCAATAAAAAACGTTATCTTGCTAACCGATTTCAAAACAGAACTAAAACTAAAGATTTTTATAAAATTTTTTTTAGGAAAAAAGAAAAAAAAAAAATTTCGATGCTTTAAATTTTTTTCTATCTCATTGGAAAAATTTTTCCTTTGGGTTTGCCTTGGGTTTTTATTTGGAACGACTTTGTTACAGTCGCCCGGGCTGCCCCTTTAATGTACGGTTTCCGGGGGATCAAAACCTTTACCTCCCCATCTAGATTCCATTCCAAATTAAAAATAAGTGTATTTTTTTAAATTTTCTAAATGTTTGTATTTCCCTTTTGAAAATTTGTGTAATTCAAAAAATTTCTTTCCAGTTTTGGTAAAACAATACACAAAGATATATTTATTAAATATTATTCGAAACCCCCCCCGTCAAAATTTTAAAATTAAATGAAATTTAAAAAACATACGTTCTATTCTTATTTGGGTATAACTAATCACTAAGATATATTTTTTAAATATTATTCGAATTCACGTGTAAATATGTAATTAAAGGGAAATATTAAAAAACTACGTTCTTTTTCTTTTGTTTGGTTTAAATTTAAAGTTTTTTCTTATTTCAGTATTTTTTTTTTTGTCGACCTCCCTCAAAAATTTGTACTTTTTTTAAAATTTTGTTTTTAAAGTCTGTTATTTTAAAAAAAAACAAACCAAACGTGTAAAAACCCACTTTTCGTTTTAATAAGCTTCATTATTTGGGTATTTTAAATAACACAAAAAAATTTTAAATCCCAGTAAAATACTTTTTTTAAAATTAATGAGGGCATTTTTTGCTTTTTTTTCTTTATTTTAACTTTTTTATTTGTTCTTGTCGTTTTTAAATTGAAATTTAAAAATTTACTGTTGGGGGGTAACATTACAAATTGCTTTTTTTTAAAATTCACAGGGAATATATGATTTTTTAAATATATTGCTATTAAAGGGGATGGAAGTTTTTATAATTTTCTTTTTTAAACCGTTTTAAATTATTCGGATAATTGAAATCATAAAAAATAAATTTTTAAAAAAATTATTTTTAACAAACCCCCTTAGGGAAGACGCTTTTCCCTTTTGGAAATTGACACGGGGTTAATTTGTCGAATGAGAAAAAAAATTAGGTATAGCATTTTAAACTAGATAAAATCAGATGTCACTGCAAAAACTTGGAATAAAAACCCAAATTTCCCGTTAAACATTTTGTCTATATTTTAATATCATGGTATTTTATCCTTAATTAAAATTAACTCTTTTAGTTTATAACCGACGGAAATTATAGGTCATTTCTTTAATTTGAGAGTTTTTTAACACACTTTTTGGGTTTGTCTCTATAATTGCGGAATAAACCCTCTTATTATAAAAAAATAAAACGCTTAATTTGGGTTTTATTTTTTAAGGGGGGTTTTTTCCCCGTGGCCCCAGAGGGTCAAAAAAAAAAAAATTTGGAACAAACTAAAAAACTTCAAAGAACTAAAAAGATTTAAGATAGTGAAATTTTCATGGGATTTAACCCTATTTTTCCCGATTTTTGGGAAAGCAAAATGTTGACTTGAAAAATATTTTTTTTTTAATTTAAATGGTTTTTTGCCCTTTGAAAAAATTTGTTTGAAGCTGGGGGTATCCCGTTTAAAGGTTTATATAGAAATAGTCGGGATTAAATGGGGCTTGGTTTTGGAAAAGCTTTTTTTTATTTTTTATCGCCACGAAGTACGACATGAAAATAGAATAAAAATAAAAATATCAAAACACAGTGCGACAACGCGGTATTGTAATTTTACCAAAAACAGCCCCCAAGGGTTTAAAAATTTAAAAAAGATTTAAGTAATATAGAATTTAAATGCAGTGCGTCTTAACTCGTTTTAATCAGTTAAACTAAAATGGGGTTTTTTAAAAAAAATTTAATTTAAGTTTTTATTTTTAGTATTTCTGAAAAAAATTTTTGAAAAATGAAAAACCTTTTTTCCCTTGGAAAACGGTTTAAAGTTTTTGTTTAATTACATGATATTGGTAAAAAACAAATTGAAACTAACCCATAGAAATTTTTAACTTCTTGAATGAAAATTTTCAAACTGAATTTTAACAACTTTTGGGGGTAAAAAGGTTAAAATTTGAAGCTGAAAAACTTTCTTTTAGAGCCTGGGAAGATGCACGAAGGGGCAAGCTGCTGGGTTTTTTTCTAAATTGGAATCCCGCAGGGCATTATTTCCAGTTTAGTCAAATTTAAAAACCCGTGAAAAAGATAGCCCTAAGGGATTTTGAGAATTGTAAAGAATCCCCTATGAATTTTTTTTATCATGTTTTTTCGTTTTTACTTTTTTGTATTTGGGGGAGTAAAATTAAATAAATTTTAATTTATTGTGTTTCTATTTTTTTATTATTTTTACTAATTTTATTATTGTGGGGGTTTGGGGGTGGGGGTGGTGTTGTTGTTGTTGTGGTTTGGGTGGTGGGGTTTTCTGATCATGGTCTGTTTGGGCCTTTATTCATTAGTAATATTTTTTTGGGAATTTTCCCAAAAACGATTTAAGATTAAAAATTCAAATTTTATAAATTTAAACCCTTTTTTTTAAGATTTTAAGCGTGGGGAAAGTTTATTTAAAGGGGTTACAATCCCTGTGTGGCGATTTGGCCCTTCTGAAAAAAAAAACAAAAATATATAAAATTATTAAAAAATATATAAAATATAGCTTTTCATTTTAAAAAAGAAAAAAAGCTGGTTTGAGATTGGAGTTTGAATGCGTGGTTTTTTTTTTTGTTTTCAGGGTTATTTTAAAGTAAAAAAGGGTCCTTTGTAATATTTTCCGTTTTAAAGCATGTCAAATTTGTTCAGGGGATTTTTTTAAAGTCAGTGATATCAATTTAATTAGTTACCCGGGATATTCGAGGTTCCAAATTTACAAAAAATCGAGCTCTATTTTATTAGGGAAAACCCCGATATCTTAACTGCGGATTATCACATCTGAGGGATATATTTTTAATGAAAATTATTATTGAAAATCAAAAAAAGTTTGCCTTTTTTTCATTATTCCTTTCCCTTTAATTTTTCTTCGGGGGTAACAACAAAACCTACGTTTAGCTTTAAATTTTCCCCAGAATTTACCTGTAACGTTCAATTTTTTTAAAAAGGGCGGGCATTTTTTTTTTAATTTTGGGAGCTTAATATTTTTAAGCAAACGGTTTTAATGTCACTTGGTTGGTCAATCAGCTTAAAAACTGGTTTGTGAATTAGCTCCCCTTCACAATTAGAAAAAGGCATAATGTCATTTTTTAAAAAAGTAATTTAAAGATAAGCGGGGAGCAAAATTAGCATACAAAAATAATGTTTTCCCAAAGAACTATAATTATCAATATATAAACAAGTATTTAAGTAAAAAAGGAAATATGTTCAAACTGGTCTTTCCTTTTTCAGATGTACTAATTATCAAGGGTCGGGAAAAGCAAATTTGTTATTTAAAAGTACCCTAAATGTTTTTACTGAGAAAGGGGGAGTGGTCGGGAAAAACGCCAAGAGCCCGTGTTACCCCTTACCCATTTCTGTTGTGAAGCACCTGTAAAAAAATTTTTTTTTCCCTTTAGTGACCAAAGATGAATGTTTTTGGGTTTCACAAAAAAATATTCTACCTAATTTTGAAAAATGAATAAAAAACAAACAAAAACACACAAACAAAAAAATGGGGTTTGGCCCAAAAATTTTTTTAATTTAAAACTTAAGCAATATGTTTGGGACTCAAAAAAACGTAAACTAGAGGGCATTTCAAACCGAAATTTCATTTTTGATTATCGTAAAGTAATTGAAATAAACCTACTGTGATTATCTGATATTGTTGAAAATAAACTCTGAACGTGTTGTTAGTGCCATAGTCCTCACCCATCTTTTTAAAAATAAAGTCCACCTGAAATATAAAAGATTAGATACTAGTATTTAGAAAAATGTTTCATATACGGGATGATGGCGTAAGACCCGTAGATCCTTTTTCATTTTTTTTTTTTCTTTTTTTCTTTTTTTTTTTTTTTTTTTTTTTGGCAAGTTAAAGTTACGATGACTTGATACTTCTTTCCCAGGAGGACTTCCTCATTTTTTTCTTTTACATGTATTATGAACTATAGTTCAAAAAATTTAATTGGTATTGTTGTGATTAAATCACTGTTTCATTTTGCCAGATAATAAATGTCAATTGAAAGAAAATTCGTGACTCGATTTAAGCAGAACCTTAAAATAATAAACTTAACTAGCCTTACTGAATGGTTTGCATGCTGTACTATATAAGATAAGAAAAAAACATATTGTTTATTATAGTTACATGAGCACAGGAGTAACATAATGTAAGAAAAACAGACATATTTACCCTTTATTACACGAGTATAATGAAAAGAAGTCGTTCGCAAAATATTTAAAAATGTTTTGAATTAACGTTACATGAAAGATACTCACCTCTTTTGCAATACCGTTCAGGTAGGATTTAAGGAATGTCTTGGTTTCTTTAACAGTTGCATTTGGCGCCATAAATTCATCTCTTACGCTGAAACATTAGAGCATAGCATACAATTCAAATGAAACATTTTCAATTTTCTATTTCAAATTAAATATTTACATGCCACTGTAAAATGTAAAATATATAAATCGATTTACACAAAGTTATTCAAACTTATAAGTAAGGTGAAAAGATTTTAAAATCCAGCCTAAGTATGCCATCAAGTGAGAACTTTCGAAACGTAAGATCATAATACATTTTTACATCATTTTTGTACTAAAATGTAACGAAATTGTAACAGAGTATAATCAATCAACATCTACATGGACTGCTGTTTCTGTCTAGTCTTTATAAAAAACAACTTACTGTGTGTATACTGAGAGATCGGCAAACACGAATAATTCGAGCACGTTACCATCATCGGAGGCCCGGCGTACACGTGTGTGTTCTACAATACAAAAAAAATCACGCACGTAGCTTTAATAGTGATATATTTTGTTGGGTCATACAAAACAAAACTCATCGATATCATGAAGATGAAAGGAAAATCGAATTATTATTGCAGCCTTGGTTGTAAAAAATTAAGTGTGCTTTACTGGTCAATTACAGAGTAATGTTGATATTGTGTACACATTAAATGACTTTAGAATTACTCAAGCGTGACCTAAACTTAGTTTAGTATCTTCTGTATTTCATTTCGCTCCAATACGATAAGTTTAGTACTATAACTTTTTGTTATCACAAAGTAACTATACCATTATTTTCCCGCCTTACACGGTGATGTACGTAACTTCCGCCATCAGGTTGTATCACCATTTTTTCACCCTCGTTAGTAAACCTTCCATACTGCAATTGTAAACATATTTTAATCCTCATGTTAAAACAAACATTGAATGTGTAGTTATAATTTGCAAAAAATAATGCAAAATGACATCTCATCGTGTGACAGTTTACTATGTAAAAATGTTGAACTTTCGTGTTAATCGAATATGTATATTTTGAAAATAATTGTTTAAATCATGTCTGAATTTTTTCTGCCATTGAGTGTTCCTATCATGACTGTTAATATTTGATGTACAGCTTGAATAATTTTTTTTATATGATTTATAAATAATCAGAAATGTTGTCTAAATTGGATCTAAGAAGTTTTTCTAAAAGTTTTAACTGTCATTTACATACTTATAGAAACAGTTAATATGATATGAATGCTTTTTTATTTCTTATAATACAATATTGAATGATATTGTATTTTATAAAATGAATTGGCTTTTTTTATGATGCAATACAATGGTGAGACATTTATAAATGAAATGAAACGATACAAAACAAGACGAAATGAAATGGAGTGGTATGAAATGTAATTAAGTCAGATTAAATTGAATTAAAACATATGATTGTTGAGATTTCAATCCCTGTATTAGTTGTTATTAGAAACCGCTGAAGGATAACCTTATTACTGTAGTCAACAAACATGTTTTATTACATTATACATGTTTTATGTATGTAATATAAATGCTTAAAATATACATGTACAACAGATGACGATATGCTATGACAATGAAACAAAACAAAAATTGATGCATCTAGTTCTGTGATTTTTGTTTTGTATTTGTTTTCGCATGCTTGTTTGAGTTTATACGAAATTATTTTAGTTTCATTGTGTTAGAACTATAAGCTTATTGATACACTCTCGAATCCGTTTCTGGAACCAACCAGTACTAAACAATGAGTGTTAAGTTTCTTGCTCAAGGAAACAACGCTTGCCCCTGACGGGGTCTGAACCCACGCGGGGATTTTACTTGTTTTGATTTATGCGAGGCCGTTCGAATTTCTAGTAAAGTAGGGGAAAATTAATTTAGACAATGGTCACAATCTTAAATGAAATAATAATAATCTTTCATCAAATGTGTTTTCCTTTTACATTGTAGATTTGATAAGATGTTGCTGCAATTTGAACAAGGAAATATGTCGGTTAACGTATTCTGATATGTTGTTGAAATCAAATAAATAAATGAACTTACAAGTTTTGGTTTGTCATCGATGGATTGTCTGTGAATTACTATCAGATCAGAAGGTCCTGCGGTATAAGCGGCAAATTTCTGAAATTAATGCATACAGATATTCATGTTGTACCGGTTAATATAATTGTTTGGTTCTACCATTTTAAAACCGTGAGCGAGCTGGATATATATCTAAAACAATATCAATCAAACAGGTCTGTGAAATAATTTTGTGATATTTACTCGTTTGAAATCATGCGAAATGTTATAAACGATTAACCGGGGCATAACTTTCTTCATCATTAAACTTATAAAGACAGTATATTATATTTATAATTGCAATTCATATTATTCAAGACAAGTTTGAAGTTTTATCATTCACGGAACATACGCCTGCGTCCCTTTATAATAATAATAATAATAATAATAATAATAATAATAATAATAATAATAATAATAATAATAATAATAATAATAATAATAATAATAATAATAATAATAACAATAATAATAATAATAATAATAATAATAATAATAATAATAATAATAATGATAATAATAATAATAATAATAATAATAATAAAAACATGAAAATGCAATGAAAATACAACGAGGTTATCAATTTTTCATAAAATTATACATTGTATAAACCTTACTTAGAATATTTTATAGAATTTTTCAGATACGTATTATATTTGATTTTATTAAGATAGTAGAATAAAATGATCTTCTAATTAATCAAGATGTCTTCCTCTTATATGCAAAGACAGATATATTTACTTACATCTTTATCATTTTCACTGAACACTCCAGAAGGAAGAATTTTTGATGTTTCAAAAATTTCTTCACTAAGAATATTGGTTGCGTCGTCATCGCGCGCTAATTTCAGGTAAACATTATTTCCCTGATTTCCCAAAACTACATCAACGTTTTCAGGAAAACGTCCGTTTCCGTTAAATTCTACATGTTCTACTGTTACTAAGTCTGTGAAATAAAAGGAAAAACGAATTACAATTTATAATAGAGAAACGTATATTTTTTCAAGTTATCAAAACGATTGAATAAGAGGTTGTACCTTAAGATGATGAGATGTAAAAATACAATATAATTTTGATATTGGTATTATTACTAAAATCATGTGGCAATATTAATAGAAACACTGATTGTTTGCAAAGGATTGCATTTGAGAAACCTAAATTAGTTTATATGATTTATTTCATTAGATACATTTATATAACGCCTTAAATTTGATAACCTATAACAGAATGAAATAATAAAATATCAATGAAGCAAAAATGAAAACTTACAGCCGTCCAAATTTGAAGAATCAACGAAACTTTGCCAGTACAGTAACGTACACAGCACAAAAATTGTTAATATTTTTCCCATTATAATACCATACAAACGCTTCAATCCTAACTGAACACCTTGTTTTCAAGTAACTCTATGCGTTATTTTGCCCGTTAAAATGGCGGTGTGGACACATTTGCCTTTAAGGTATTGGCTGTTATCACTATAGACATTATTAAAGATATGATCTTCTATTTATAATATTTATGCAACAACTTTTTCAAACATCAGATAAAAAACAATTACAATTAACTTGAATCACTTGAAAGAAATAAAATTGTATTGATAAAATCTTAACTACACAATTTCAAATTGTTTACTAATTAATAAATTACGACTGTACATACGTGTATTCAGTCCCAATTTATTGGTTTCATAAAACCGTGCGTAACAACATTAATATAACCTATGACCGATTAATACGTCAACAATTCTAAAATTGCGTTTTACTTTTAAGTTAAATGTACTTTTCATTTTAAGAAACAGAAATACCAGTCTAGGAAATATTTTTCAAATCAAGTTAGACACTCAGACAGACAGACAAACAGTTAGAATCAGTCAAGCAATGATATAGTAAAGTAGTGATATCAAATCAACATATATTAAACTACCTTTTTACCTTTTTTATCGGAAGGTTTAGAAGTCTTATAGTTATGCCTTTTCTACTATGACATATGTATATAAATCAAATGATTCATAAAAGAATTATAGTTCGTTGTTTGAAAAAGAAAATGAATTTTAATCTTTTGAAAGTAATAATTAAATTACTGTTTCAGTCAGATATTGATAATTGGACACTTTTCAAGTTATACCTTCGAGGTTAATACATGACTAGTATATGACATATTTATTTATATATGTGTGTACTTTTCCTAAGTAAATGTATTATCTATTTGAGCCGCGTCATGACAAAACCAACATAATGGGTTTGCGACCAGCATGGATCCAGACCAGCCTGCGCATCCGTGCAGTCTGGTCAGGATCCACGCTGTTCGCTTACAAACTCTTTTACAAGTAGAGAAACTGATAGCGAACAGCATGGATCCTGATCAGACTGCGCGGATGCGCAGCCTGTTCTGGATCCATGCTGGTTGCAAATCCATTATGTTGGTTTTGTCATGACGCGGCTCAAATGCTGTACGCATGAAGGCAACACGCATGCACGCTCACACACGCACGCACACACATACACACACACACACACACACACACGCACACACACACACACACACACACACACACACACACACTAAATATCTTCAATTTACATTGACTGTTAAATTGTTTGTTCAGTAATAGTTTAAGAATAGAATAGCATCAATCGACTTACAGAACTAATGCACAGTACTTCTCATTATATTAGCAAATTATTTATATGTTTTTAACCAAGTTTCAAATTTGCTCAAGTTTGCCCAGTGGCAATTGTATGATTTAAAGCATTTTCCTATGTTGTAATTAAGGTTGTAACCACAATTTACTGAAATTTTATATATGTATATAATTATGCTTTTAAAACAATTTTCAAACATCGAAGATATGTAAAATATGTAGTGCAAATATTTGTTAAAATTATATGTAATCATTGAAATATATGACTTCATTTCTTATTGAAAAAAAATGACTCAAACTTTACAGAAAATAAATTTCTTTTTACCTCCCTTTAATAGCATGAAATGTAAATTCGGTAATATCTTAAATAATAATGCTTTTTGGAACTTGCAATATTGATGATTCTTCATTTGAGCATTATATTTATGATATAAAACAAAACAAAAATGTGTTACAAGATCTTTAACTCCTTACATCGGGCAAATCTTAAAGAAGTGATATTCTGTTTCAACTCTACAATTGATGAGATGAGACCTTTGCATATTACATATCCAATAAATGTAGCAAGTTTTATAGATATGCGTATAGCAATGATAATGTGAAAGAAGAATGCCGAGCAGAATGTTAGAGACATTGTTAACATTTTGTGGTCATTTTCAATAGTAACAAAATGTCATTTCATTTTTAATTTGCATATGCAGTTACACACGAGTTCATCATTTATCGAGGATGAGGCAGGTCAACTCTAAAAAAATTATATTTCAATGAATGAAATGATATGATGGAATAAGATCCAATGTTTTACAGAAATCTGCGCTTGTAAGCAAATCTGAAGACGCTCTCCCTACGTCACTTGTACAGGGTAACGCCAGGCTTTACATCAATGCTAATCTTTACCCCAAAAACATTTTAATCTTATCTTGAAGTCATATCTAGAAACTTTCATTTCACCCAGTATAATACAATTAATTATGTTAGTAAATTATCACCGCAACTTGAAACAATTCATTTACCTATGTAATGTTTTCTTTATATCTTGTATCTTTGTATATACCTATAGAATTATTTACTGACCCATTTGATTATAGATGGCACATCAGTTGGATTAACGGTGGCATTTCAGTTACATTATGAATAATTATGAATAATACAATTTACTTTGAGGAAAAATAAATTAATAAATAACGAAAATGTAAGAACAGAACGAAAGAAAGTAAATGCCTGTTGTAATGTTATTGTATGTATATTTTTTGGCAATTAATTTAGATATTACACAACAGAGACTCATCATTGACATGTAAACAAACTCGCTTCGGGCACTTGTTTTTTAGACTCGCTTCGGGCACTTGTTTTTTAGAAGATAACTGTTATTCGTGATATCGTCCCATCTTTTTTATAGCCTTTGGTTGTAGTCTTTTTTATGCTAGACCACCAAAAATCTAAGGATTGATTTTTAATTTATTTGTTATACATTTCCGACATAAAATTATGATATCATTACATAATATAATTAAGCTTATGACGTTTCAATTTTCAGCAAGCCTACTTTAGCCCCATCAACCTCGGTTGTTTGTTCATTTTAATTTGGACTTTCTTCGGTCCAACTTATCAAGTCAACGATTCAAGGGTGCATTTAAATATAGAAAGAAAACTTCGGAAAAACGCAAAAATGGAAAATCGATTTATATTATCATTAATAGCTGGCATATTACATGTGTGCATGTGCAATGGACAAAACGAGTTCCATCCTCTTGTCGGAAACTCCAAGTCAGGTAAGAACCATTTTTGTTTTATCAAATGTATAGTTTTTTACATCGTGTCTGATATTATTATTGTACGATGTTTCACTCAATATTGATAAATTTGAAATTTGAAAAAGCATTTTTTATCCATTTGAAATATAACTAATGCAATGTAATGTTTCTTTCAAGATTTCAAAGTCATTTTTTGTTTATTTTACCAGAGACAAATAGTTTTCATCGTTACTTTATGAGAAGCGAAAAAAGAGATAAAGAATTAGGTTTATTGCTTACATTTCGAATTAAATTTTTAATTCTTTGGCAGAATTTCTTGGTCCGTCCGCTTTGAATTTGTTAAAAGTGATTTTCACGTTTTTCCTTGAACTATAGTTTATGAATGCATCTTTTAATTGCCAGAGTTTGATCCTCTCCCAAATCCTATAAAGTAAATTAAATAAAATGAAATGATTCAAACTACATGTATTTTATTCAAAATATATGTGTAATCAAAATAATTAAAACACTAATTTAAATTTGCCGTAGCTTTCGGCCTTGATGCCGTCTTCAGCATCACTTATTTTACATACAACTTTATCAAAATAAAACAATTGAAGTCAAAATATATATGTAATGTCGTTTCATAAACTAGCATAAAATCATTAATTTCTGCCTCTCTCTTTTAAAACTAAACGATTATTTTTTTCATGCTATATTGAATTCAACAAATGAAATTATTTTTAAGGAATTGTCTTTATGTATATGTTACCTTTAAACATATTTGTATTAGTGTTTATAAATTTTACCATTATCCAACTAAATAATTTTCACAAGAGCAATAAAATAAACATTTTGCTGGAGGTAAACACACTTTAATTTATACAAAGTATATCTAAAACAGACTGTTTGAGATAATTATGTGCATGATTTAAATAGAATAATCATTCTTATGAGATTCCCGTGTTTATTTGAAATATTGAAAGTTTTGCATTGTTGAAAATGAATGTTTATAATTTTATAGTTGAACATCGTGCGAAAAGAGCACCTACTGAATATATTGTTGAAGTTGTTGTTTGGATCGCACCTGATCTCTTTCAATAGTAAGTATTAGTTTTTCACAGCATGTGTTTAGTACAACAATAACATGATGGCGCTAGTTGTGTTTTTGTTTTTTCATGAATGAAATAAAAATACAAAGCAAATCATGATTTTCGTTATCCAATGAAATCATGCAGCTGTAATATACATTCACCAAGAAAAAGAAATTTTTGTGCGAATCTCTATACTTGTTTCCTTATGCTTTTACAATTTGACAAAACTATTTACTGCAGATATTATAACAAAAATATCACTAAAGCTTATTTGTATTACATAACAATACTGTCAATTGTTCATACACATCTGATTTTATTTTTTTTACTCTACTGACTTTGCAAACATGTTAACTACTTTATACTTGTATATTGTAATCTGTGTCATTCTAAGTATAGTAAATGTTATGTTTTTATTTGTAACATAATTATAATAAGCATCGTTTTCGGTATTCCATATAACGTAAAAAACTGTTTTCAGCCAAAAGACGCGGCTTGGAGCAACAAACTCAGAAACCTCGGCCTGGTTTGAAACATATAGAGAAGCTTTGATCAGAGATGTACGTTCATATTTTTTGTTGTTGTTGTTGTTTTGATGTTGTCTTAAGATCTGTTAATGCTTTACATTTTAAATTGAACTCTGTGTTTGTTTACATTACTTAACATTTCAATCCACAAATGAGTCTCTTCAAACGAGAATATAATGTCTATGTGGTAGTTTTTAGATGTTATTCATAGATATCAATAGATATAAGCCGTGTCATGACAAAACCAACGTAATGCGTTTGCGACCAGCATGGATCTCGACCAGCCTGCGCATCTGCGCAGTCTTATCAGGATCCATGCTGTTCGCTTACAAAACCTTTAACAAGTAGAAAAACTGAAAGCCCTGGTCAGACTGCGCGGATGCGCAGGCTGGTCTGGATCAATGCTGGTCGCAAACACATTACGTAGGTTTTCATGGCACGGCTCATATTATTGTGGATCTATTAAGACAGGTGTGTTTATTTTCACGAATGATAATAGAATAAAGTCAACGACTTGATTAAAAACTATGCTTTATTTGACTAGTTTCTCTAAGTTTGTACTTGTATTCACATCATCGTTTATACATACAATGTATTATTGTCCATTCAATATGATTGATTTCACACTTTTTTCATCAATACAAATACTTACTAGATAATGTATACCTAAAATGTATAAATATATTAATTTTAATGCTTTTGTCATTTTAACTAACAGATTGATTTGACGTTTCAAAAAGTATCAACAATCAATCTTCGTATACAATACGTTGGAGGTGGAGTTACTCAGGTAAATTTCTTTTGAGTTTTATACAGGAGTATCTGTTCGTAAATTGAAATCTGTATTATCGGGGGCATTGTTGGGGGCATATTGATGGGGTATTTGTGCGGGCATATTGGTGGGGGCATGGTTATATAGGACATATTCAACATTTGTAGCATGAAGCATAACTAGCGGGATTGGTATATATTGTTGTTATTCAAATAAAAAGTGTTTTGTATAAGCTGTAATATCATTAAATCTATGAAATACAGTCAGTAGAACAGGGCATTTGTGTATGTATACACTCGAGTTTAACCCTAAACCTGCTGAATTTCTTAAATGGACTTTTCCAATTTACATACTGAAACAGTCCATTGTGAATTTATGGGACATCAAGGTGGTGGCAAAGACTAATCACTATCGCCTTCAGCAGGGTAATGTTTCATTGTCAAATGACACCAGACTAGCATGTGAAAAGCATGATGAAAGACGAAAAAACTTTTTAAAAAATTACATGTGGAATTATATCATGCGTGTGTTCCCTTTTTGTGCAATCATCGATTTAGTTCCTTTCAAGCTTCCAGTGACCTTATTCAATATATTTCAAAAAAGTCATATCAATGTTTAACAGTTTTAAACGACTTTATATTGCGGTGTAAATTCGTTAATTTTCGGATGAACTACTTCTTAGTTTCATCAAACATTATTCACGTTAATTTCATGAACACAAAAATGCTATATGTAACTATTTCGTTTAACGGAAATGTATTTGTTCTGATTTACAGTCAGAGTCCACGTCGTGGTTTGCCGATAATTACAAAGATCCATATTTAGCTGATCAAAATACACTTAGTGACGTCACAACATTCTTGCAGAATAAAATTGGAGGTGCCATTCCAAGTTATGATCATGCCATTGTGATAACAAGGTATCTTTACAAACTATTCTATAAGGAGAAACAAATTTGGTTATTAAAAGTCATCGATGGGTGAAATGTGTAGATTTACTAAATGTAACGATAAACATGAAGAATGTTAAAGAAACTAAAGCACGTTTCACTTAAAAGAGAGCCATTTTAAGAAGATACATATAATATTGATTAAAGACAAATGAATTGCTTCTTTTTTTATTTTAGGGCAGACCTTGCTAAAAACACCAATGGCGATAAAAGTGAAAGGCAGGGTAAGTTCTCAAACATACACCTTAAGGTTTTGGCTTCGACCTGCACATGTGTTATTTCTCCTTCCATGACAATATTGATACAAGTTAACTTTGAAATGTATTCATGGCAACAACATATTTGAATGGAAAAAATAAGAATGAATGATACGTCATTTACCAACGCAATCAAAGTACTGGAAGCACGCGTGTGTTTTATCATTCACTCATACTTTTTATTCACTCTCACAGGAATGACAATTGTTCAGTTGTCTTATTGATTTTTATTAGATATATATACTGACATTGAATGTTTATATATTGTCTCATTTACTATTTCAGCCGCTGCTACCGGATCTATTTGTGCTGACAAGTCCGGAAGCTCCGTTTCTATAGCCGAAGTATCTGGACCATTTTACAGAAAGCTTGTCGCGCAGGCTATTGGCTTAGGGTTCGTTATTTTCTTATTTAAATTGATAAATATGACAAGGGTAAATTACTGAATAAAACTTAAAACAAAAACAAAATTTAAAACAACATTTATGTATATAAACATTACACAGTGAATTATATAATATGCCTAATTTCAATGAAGGACCCTCAAAATAGCCAAATAACATTTTAAGCCAGTTGTTATTTTATAAAAAATTTCCTTTCTTTGACGGAAAAGTCAACAACGCGTGATTTTAGATAATTTATCACTTCAAGATTTCGACTTGCGTATTCATCAGAATTGAAATTCCATAGAAAACAAAATGTTTTAAGTGTTCCGAAATGAACTTGTCAAAATGTGAAGAAAAAAAACAATAAAATAAAAAAAAGTGGAGAAATAATAATAATAATTATATTTCAGTTTTTTTTGTTGTAATTATTTCCTCATTCTATTGTTGCATATTTTTGTTCAGTTTTGGTTTGAAGTACGAGTTTGGCTCAGATGTATACCGAGTTATGGCAAGAGATAACCCTCCTTTCCCTGTACCAGATATCAGTAAAGATGAAATATTTTCCTTTGGAAGTTCAAGAGAAACTTTACTTTCGGATACCATAACTAGTTTGTAAGTAAAACAATACATTTTTATTTGCATCCTTAACTTATTATTATTTCTATTTTTCAAAAAAAAAAATTATTTCTAATGACTACAGGTGTAATGTCTGAATATAAAAAAAAAACGTAAAATAGTAAATAATGTGCATTGTTGAAAACTTTTATTTTAACAGTTATAAAAAAATGTATGGTCTTTTAATATTTTTTCTTTAAAAAATAACCGATAACTTTGAATTGTAATATTTGTTTAATTAAAGTGGAACACAGTGTTTGACGTCTAATGACTCAGGACAGGATTTCAACACTTTCATTAATGGTGACAAAATCGGCACAACCTACACTAACGACGAACAATGTGCTATATTATATGGAGCTGGGTCAACAGTTTGTTCGGTGAGTGTGAATTATTTTTAGGTTTCTTACGCTAGCTTAAGTATGATCTACATATGTATGCTGATAACAACTTGCTATTTTATTGTTTACACTTAGAGTAGACTTAAATGTTTGGGAAACATGCATCTGTGTATTTATATATGTACTTATTAAAAAAACAGGCTCTTTTGGACAATTTTAATATTATCATGCTGATATTTAAGTTTTTCTTTGCAACATGTTAGTGAAAGTTGATTATAAAAACTTTCTGTTCTCATTTTGAGCAAATCCATTCTAACCCTAACCTGTTGAATGTCTTAAATTAACTTGTGTAGTTTCAATTCAGAACTTAACATTATGAGTTTTGTATATTTCATGATAAAAATGTAAAGTGCGCCGGCTAATAGGGCATGGTGATAAAACATGGATTTATTGAAGGTATTTGATAAATAAAACGTTCTATTACAGGGAGATACAGAACCTTCAGAAACATGTTACAGTGAAGTTAAATGTGAAGTAAGCGGTTCATGCTCATCAAACATCATCCTTGGACAAGAAAGTGTATGTGATGCAGCTAAATCCCTGGTAAGTTAATGTTTATTTTAGATATAAAAATATTTGAGTGGTCGTTTAAGTTATTTGTTTTAAAATTTTATTAAAGCGCCAGAATCTTTAGACATATAATATAAATATTAATACGTTTTCACACGTGTGCACGATCTATACGAATGAACAATAATATTACCTTTGTTAACTGTTTCCATCTCATTTACTTAATCTATTTTAATGCATAATATATAAATTCTGAATTGCAAATATATCACTTAAATACATGTTTTGAAACTATTAAATGGAAACGAATTGAATATCTGCCGGTTTGTAAATGGTATTTAAGAATTGCATAACACCTTTTTATAAAGAGAAAATCCATAAAATTGAAATGATTTTGAGTCAACCTTCGTGTACTGAATTGTTCAAGTTTAAATGGATTTATTAATTTTTATTTGTGACAGGGTTGTTTCTATTCTGCATGTACGTACAATAGAGGCGGCTCAAGCAGTTCGTCATCATCGTAAGTTGTACCTATATTTCATATACATATCTAACTTAGTGTTTTTGAACAAGGGGTGAAACTGGAAAAGGGGTGGTTTCTTCAGAAGCAATGAAAACAACAATATTATGAGCCACGTCATGACAAAACCAACATAATGGGTTTGCGACCAGCATGGATCCAGACCAGCCTGCGCATCCGCGCAGTCTGATCAGGACCCATGCTGTTCGCTTACCAAGTCTATTACAAGTAGAGAAACTGATAGCGAACAGCATGGATCCTGACACGGCTCATATGATATTTCAGACTTGGTTTGATTAAATCTATTCATGATGGATTATGGTATAGGGCAACATCACTCACGCCCCCTCCCCATCACCGTCTTTAGCACTTTATGTGCTCGAAGTTTTGAAAATCAAGTTCTTCTGAAAATCACAATGAAAACACAATACGAAATTTACTGTTATCCAGCATTTTTACGTTGTCTATATATAACATATTATGGTCTCTTATAACTACAATTATTCTAAATAATACAGGAGCTCGTCATCAACCAGCAGCACAGCTGCAACTACAACTAGCACTAAAGCCGCCACCAGTACAACAACAAGCAGTACAACCAGTATTTCTACCAGCACTACAGTGTAAGTAGATGAAATATTTTTTATATCTTTCATACTATATGATTAATTTTACGAGAACCTTTTTGCTCGAGGAACGAATGGTGGTTGAATGGCAATCATTACTAGTACAAGTTAACTTTTCTGCCTTTTCATACATTTTATTTATAACTTATTTCTAATGTAATTATTTGCATGAAGTTATTTGAATTATATTTACAGCATGAACTGTTATCGTATTGTATTATCGTAGATTTAGTTTAGTATGGTTTCTATGAGTAAAGCAAAACCTTAAAAAAAATCAAAATTAAAGCATAAAGAATAAACATATAAGAACAAAACAAACTGTGTTTTAGTCAAGTACTTTTAAAGAGCAGAATATCAAGAAAAAAAAACAGGACTTCATATGATTCTTTTAATCTGGGTTTGTAGATAAGAATGTTTTGGTACAAAATTTAAATGTATGAAAATTAGCAGTTAGCTAAAGTTCTTTTATTTGTAATGGCTAAAATCAATGACACTGAGACGTAAATTGATAACTTACAGTTAATGTTCCAAACAGACGACCAATTGTTTTATATTGTATCTTCTATACAATTATGTCCATATTTATTTCATAAACATTTCACATTCTTCAGGTCGACCTCAACACAGTCTTCATCTGTAAGTTTATGAACAACTTTTTTTCCTTTCATCATTCACGTTATTTGAGTCAATGTCTATAGAAATATTTCATGTTAGACTAAACCAAAAAAAAAAACAAGGAGATTATTATCTTATTGCTAAGTAGCGATTTCAAAACATGATAGAAAATTATTATGTTTACTTTATGTTTGCTTTATCCATATGTATAATGTTGAATATACATTGTGTTCCTGTATTTACTATCACAGTTAAAAGAGAGAGAAAAGTTTGTATCTAACTGTACGTCACATTTAAAACAATATCTTCTATAACACAAACGTATCTTAGTGTAAATCACATGTAAATGGCAACATATCATTTGATCTTAAACAATTCAAAGTATTTATGGTTTCATGAATCAGTTATTTTAATTTAATTCTTGTCCTTCAGATGTTACCAAGCAGCTCACCAAGCCCCGATTGTTGCTGTGAGAGAAGACCATTGGGAGAAGTCAAAATCAACATTGAGTAAGTATTTGGGGTTTTTTTTATAAGTTACATCTTATTTGAAAACAAATGTTGCTGCTTTACAAGTTTGAATCCAAAAAAAAATGTAAGTCGGAACATTTTAAGTGTTCAACTATTCATACAGACAATGTAAAGAAAAAGAAAGTTAAAATAGATTAACATCTTGTTAAAAGAGATTTATGCAAAGGCCACTTGAAAAATTTAGTTGATTGAACCATTTGATAATAAAATGACATATGATCACATTAAGAAATGCCAGGAGACTGAACATTTTAGTTTAACATGTAGCTATTGATCGTGATTAAAATAATGAGATCAAATTGTTTAAATAGACAAAGAAAAAATGTTTGTTTATGTTTTGCTGATTTTTGTCTCTCTCTCTCTCTTTCAGATACATCCCGTGTCCAAATGGAAATCCTGACAATAAATTCATCGTTGATTAGAAATCTAGTTAGTGAGACATCTCTTTCAACATGAATGAGAAATATAATTATGGAATTTTTGTATTTTGATATTTTAAATCTATCACTTCTTCTGTTAAAGATGTTTGTTTTAATACAATTATAATTCCCAATATTTGTCATCATTCCATCGACCCACAAAAACATTTTATTTAATCTTTCATTGTTTTTTCCTTCACTTATTTGGTAATTCAATTTTTTTTTATTTTTTTTTTTGCAAAATACAGAGCAAAATATCTTATTTATATGTTTCATTCCATTGCATATGGCCTTGGGTTGTTTGGAAACTCTGTTACAGTCATTTTTTAACATTCTTTTATAAGTTGGAGATTTGTTTCGTTTGTAGTTTAATCTTAGTTATCTAATTGTTAATCATTAATGTTGCAAAAATTTAATACAACAGTTTATGAAACCAGCATTTTATTTGGTGGATAACAGCTGTTCAAATATTTGGTTTGCTTTGAAATAATAATAAAGAAAACTTAGATAAAAGCCCACGAAAAAATAGTGATATATTGATTTGCTTCAAAATCATAATCTAAAATTGTTTGAAAACTTACAAGAATAAAGGCATTAGAATTGGTGTTTTGCAAAAAATAAATCGAATCGCTTATGTTTCAACCATTGTCTAATGCTTGTTAACATAACTTTTGTTGAAATGTTTTGTTTAGCTTTGAAATGATAACTCCTACTTGTTTTAAAGCTTTACATTGCAGCTTATGAAACCAGCTAAAGCTGGTGGACATTTTGGTTTTCATTACACCTAGGAATAGAATTGTATAGAAATGTTGATCATATGATAAATCGATTAACGGAAGTTCAAACGATACTCATAAAAAGCTCCTTAAGTGTCAGAAAAAATTCGGACGTCGTGTTGCATTTTCAAGGGAATATTCATATTGCTTAAAACAACCAATACATATTTCACTTAATTATTTTCTAGTTAAAGATGTTTAAGGTAAGATGAAGGTGACTATAATTCTATACGTTACCCAATACTTTTAGAACTATAGCGAATGGTTTTATTTATTACCTTTTCTTTATTGTGACAAAATATTATATTGTGTATCTAATTAAGTTGTAAATACCTGTGTTTTTCTAATTGCGTACTTTCTTATTGTGTACGGTACGGCCCTAGCGGCAAAATAATTTACCTTTTTATTGGATATTTTTCGTAATCTTGTTAAGTACAACAACATACGAAGTTAGCTACATATCTTGAAAATAAAGAAACAAATAAGAGTCCTTTTTGTAAGAGTACTTTTTGTAAGGTCGGTTAAACTTTTAACATGGTTATTACGTCGCTGTTTAAACGGTTAGTTTCTTTGCTAACTATGACACTCCTATGTAATTTACATACATGTTTATTGCCACCGGCCCATACACAAACATTAGCTATAAAATTATATGTTTTAGGTATATGTTTACCCCAGTGGTCATATTTTAATTATTTATATTTAACTTATTTGTTTTGTTTATTATGAAAATTGTTAATAGACACATACATGTTTTTAAAAACTGTTTGATGAACAATTTGAAAGAATATTCATACATGGATCCGATGTTTAAAGTATCAGCAAAATCATAGAAATTCAGTTTGCAATTAGATATGATTGTAGAAGAGTAATAAAACTTTCGATCAACTTATGATATTGTTTTGTTATTTAATGGTTGTTTAAACATGATGAATCGTATACAAATACGTATCTTGACTTTGTTTTCACTACGTTGGCGCTGTTTACTGGTTCTGCTTTGAAAAGTCAGATTATCAGCAAGATACTTGCAAGTGTTTTGGCCTGAAAGTACATATCCAAAGACTTTCCACATTTTGACGTCCGCTTGTTTAATGTATATATATTTCATGTATATACATTTTAAGAAAACAGTACCAATTAAATTAAGGTATTACTACCGTTGCATTTGCTTATAGGGTGAATAAAATTGAATTGGTAACAAATGCTTGTCATAATAAAAATTAACAAAAGAAATGACCACAAAGAAATGAAAATATTTAGACAAGTGTCTCAAATAGAATAACTTCTTTTGAAGACCTAAAGTGCATGTCTCTGAAGCCCATCTCGTACAGAACACACGGCTTATACGGTTGGTCACCCGTGTAAACCGTACATACAATCAAACTAACCGTGAGTTTAACCGAGTTACAAAGCCGTGTATGATTTTTAACTTTTAAAAAACTGGTACGGATGAAATGTCTCTGTATGATCGTATACACGACCGTACAAGACCGAAAGAGACCGTGTGAGACCGTATGAGACCGTATATACAACCGTATTTGAAGTCCACTCCACGAGTGAGCCCAACCGTGCCAAGATCGTATATAAACCGTATGAAATCGTTCGAGACCGTCCCCAAGTCCTACATCCAACACCCGATTATCATCCGAATGTCACACGATCACGGTACGATTCAATCGAGTGCACAAACGGTTTCATACGAACGCCATACGACCAATACGGTTCAAGTACGAATCATGCATGACATACACGGTATGGTACGGGTATTTACGGTTTCGCACGGCTCGTATACGGTTAAACATGGCCTCTACATTATCATTACCTGTACAACGAAAACCACGACTAGCTTTTTCCACCCTAGATTGCTATATCTACCCGGAGTACTTGCTATATCATACTAGAATGTATCCAAAGAAGAAGGTTCCCACGCACACAATTAAGGATTGCAAAAAGGGCCACCCAGGCCTGCCGACCACTCCAACTTTCAACCACTGCTGAGCCTAATGAGCAGGGGTACCAACCAATGTCTGTCAGGCTTATCATGATTTCTAATTCCCTTATCCTGTCATCTGTTGCATCCGGCACCAAAGTTCGCATATATAGGTGTTCTTCGTAGAAGTTCGAAAATTTATAAGCAAAGCAGAATGTGTCGATTTATATTATAAAATACACAAAAAGGTGACAATCTGAGCATAACTCGAAAAAAAGTCGGCGGGACCCTATGTAAACCCTGTGAAAGTCGAGTAAATCGAGTAAAAGTCGTGTTAAATCGTACCAGGTCGAACTAGACCGTACTTGGAACCGTGTAACAATCGTATGTATTCGTATGCAAATCGTGTTCAAATCTTGCTTGAACGAGTATTTCCGTCCTTCATTCGTACATGCTCGTGCTACATTCTAACTCGTGCCAACAAATACCCAGACACGGTTTGAGCTAAATACTCGTACCAATCAATCCGTGTATAACCGAGTATACCGTATGGGAACCGTGTGCCCAACCGTGTTTTGTGTTAGACAGGCTTAAAATACCCGCGAAACAATTTCGTCCGAAACGCCGAGTTACAGTTGTATGTTACAGTGCCAATCTTTGACATCATTAGTCTGTTCTTTTAAGTGCAAAAACTTAAGATAATATATTTTACGAAAGTATGTACAATTATGTATAATTGATATAAAAAAAAATATCGAAGTACATTTTAAGTGCATTCATTGGTACTTTTCTGTCTTTGGCATTTTAACGACCTTCAATGAGAACATTTCGGTTTTTGACATTGCATGTGTTATATTTCGCAAGGGAAGAGGATTGCAAAACACCCAATCAATGCAATTTAAAATGAGCCTGGTCACGACAAAACCAACATAATGGGTCTGCGACCAGCGTGGATCCAGACCAGCCTGCACATCCGCGCAATCTGATCAGGATCCATGTTGTTAGCTATCAGTTTCTCTACGTGCTATAGGGTTTGTAAGCGAACAGCATGGATCCTGATCAGACTTTGCGGATGCGCAGGCTGGTCTGGATCCATGCTGGTCGCAAACCCATTATGTTGGTTTTGTCATGACGCGGCTCAAATGCTTTATACCATCAGCGGTTGAATCACAGTTTAATGTTTACTTGATAATCTAAATGACGCATTCCATTTATTTTATTTATTTACAAATAAAGTACTTAATGTAAATTAAACTCAATTGAATAACAAACGTAATAAATTTATCAATTTATTAATTTATTATTGTAACACTATTCTTATCTTATCAGTTTTTCATTTGTCAATTAATTTAGCATATTTGATGTACAAATTAATAGCGTGTAAAATATGTGCTTAAGGCTTTTGTTTGTAATAATAATTGCTTTTTTGTAGATAAAAGTAATCATAATATCTCTTACTCTGTAGCCTTTGGTTTTACATAAGTAAAATAATATTTAATAGATTGGTTAATTCTTAATTTATTTCATATCGTTGCGTGCCATAGAAATATAAAATACTTATAATTACGTCATGTTAATTGACTGATGACGTTTTCAGGAAAAGCACGCCTATTTTAACAACCTCGTTTACATTAAAATTTTCACTTACAACTAGACTTACTAAAGTGTAGTTTCAGGTTCTGCAATTTCAAGAGCGCAGTGAAATAACTTGAATCTTTAACTTTGGGAGAAAAGTCAACAGACATGGAAAAACTTTTCATAAAATTATTACTAGTTGGCATCATACATGTGTATACATGTAATGGACAAAATCATTTCAATCCCCTCGTTGGAAATCCAAAATCAGGTATTAATTTTTATTATAAAATTGTTATTCTTTACCATTTGTGGTATAATATATATTAATTTGATAATTTAGATAAAAAAGATTTCGAGTACTTATTGCAAATATTATACATATTATGTGATGGAAATGCACAAACTTATGTGATGTGCTCGAAATAATGTGATGGAAATGCACGAAAATATTATTTTGCTTGCAGATATCATTTTATTATTACGAACACGCGACAAACAAAATCATAATCTGCCTAATGAAATACATCAATGCAAAAGAAAGATTTAATCTATGTCAAATATTTTAAGGATATATGGTAGTAATGTACATATTATACAACATAAACAGGGCAGAAAACTTACTCCTTCTTGGCTTCAAATTCCCTGAACCTTTAGTTGTTGTCGCAATGTGTTGTTTTATAAAAAATACAATTTATTATAAAGTTTTACTTTTGGAAGAATACATTTTGTTGTTTTTTTTTTTGTTAAAGTTTCCCAGTATTTTTTTTAACCTTTAAACATGTGGTTATTGCACGTTCCCCGTGTAATAACGTCTGCAGAGTCTCGATGGACGGTTGGTTAACGGGGGGGTGGCTCCAACGGTTACGAGGGACTCTGTAGACTTTATAACACGAAAAACGTGCATTGATGATATTATAGCATAAAATTTTAAACCAGATTCATGATGTTAATTTAAAAAAAAAAATCTAATGAAACCCTAGTGGAAACGGTTTGGCCCTGTACTCAACATGTTTTATGTATGTGTTTTATTTATCCGGGGCCAACAATTTGTGTAAAAGCGTTGTTAACTTGTGTTAAAACATGGGGAAAAGAGGGGGAATTGCCGATGTTATGCTATTATTACGAAATATTGATTAACAAAACGTAATGCTTTTTATATTTTGGTAGTCAGTAGCTTCTCGCCAACTGGTCAGTATGAGGATGCATTCATATAAAAAAATAAAATGGACAAATTATTTTATAGGGCATAAGTTTTATAAGTCAACAAATATTTTGTTCTCAGAAATAAGTTCTAAAATATGAAACGTACCTATACATAAATGAATGTATCTATGTATAATTGATAAGTCTTTGAAAACGAGATTTTAAAAGACAATTCCCTAAAAGTTTGCTTAAAGTTCAGAATATTGAGGAGCACAGTCTCTTTTATAGCAAATCCGAGTTTTTAAAACCACTCTAGAAGATTTTTTCCTACTCTTTTGACAAATATGAAGCTGCAATAAATCAAAGTCATGAGATTATTATATTTTCTTGAAAGTATATGAATTTATTTATTTATTTATTTATTTATTTATTTATTTATTTATTTATTTATCATGATTTTTATTCATTGATTTTCTATTTTTTTTATATTTTTCAGGCATAGTTCCTGTTGATTGACTTTGCTTATTTTCAATCTGTTTTTATTAAAATTCAGATATAGTTCTTGTTGAGCAGTCGCCTGGAAATGACCGTGAGTTGTTCCCAGATACATATTCTATATGGTTTTACCACGAGAATGAACCAATTTACATCGACTTGTCACGTGATGATTCTATGACGGAATCGCTGAATCCTTCTTTGTTTCAAGCTTCAAAATTCCTGCCAAATGAGCTGATGACCGAGAAAAATATAAACGTATGTATAAAATACAGTTTTTTATTTAATTTTAACCATGAAATATGGTGCTATATCGGGAAAATATATTTCATATTTTTTAAAAATAAATATGAAATATAGATATGAAAGTGGGCAGAGTCAAAACTCATATTTATTTTAAGGGACTTCTTTCGCCGTTTTGTTTGAAAAATCTGATAAATACAAAACAACTTTTTCTTGAATTTTGTTTTGAAAACTATTTAGCATGATAGAAATTTGTCTAACTAAGAAAATTAATCCGTACACCAATATCTTTAATTCAGTAATTAACGCTGTACAGACGTTTAAAGAGTTGTCTACATGACGTCACAATGAAGCGCCAAACAGCGCGTGCTAGCTTACGCATAAATTACTGCGCGCTGTACAATTGCAGTTGATAGCAAGCAAGGGGATTCGTTATCATTTTCTTTGATAATGAAATAAAATAAAAAGGTTATTTTTCGATTTGCGTGGTATATGGTATATGGTACGTACCGGCTCGTGAAAATATGTGGCATTTAATCATGTTTCGCGAAAATATATTCCATATTTCACGCAACCAAAAAAATATCCTCTGATTATTTACTGCAATCACTACGATAGTGTTAGGAATTACATTAACATCAGATTAACGTTCTCAACGTCACAATATCAACATCTTTCGTATAAATCAAAATAAAACATTCACGAATACAATTAATTTTAAAGCTGCATGCCTCAGATTTAGTCAATTTTTTTTTAAAAATCTAAAGTTGAAAAATGTTTACTTATATATTTTTAGAAAAGTAAAATCATTCAAGATTCATGTATTATGTTACATGTTATGTGCGATTTATGACTGATTTTGCTGTACATGTATCTTTAAAAAAAACAGACCCTCCTATAGGAAAAAGAGCCAATTCCCAAATAAGAAAAACCTGTTAAAAAAAGTCTGTACCATCATACTTGAAATCGTTTGTTCTTTTTCAGTCACTTTTTTCAATATAAATATTTTTGTTGAACGAAAGTTAATTCTAAGACACCATTTTTCACAATATTCTTTTTTAAATGTCTAGCCCTTTTTGAAGTACCAATTCAGTTTCAGAAACTATAATATCTGCATATAACTGTAAATAATAATAATTGATTTTATAGAGGAGTGCATTGACTTAAAAGGTTGTAAAAGTTTCCCTTAGGACTCGAGTTTAACCATTTTCAACCATAAGTTTTCTCTAACAAGAAAATCAACGGTGTTTGTGACATACAAGCAAATGTTCATTTTCATTTCACATATGAGTAATTATTTCTTGTAATACACCAATGTCGGCCGTTGTTCTCATACTGCTTCTGAACCCCGACAGGTCCTCAATGTATACATTATAGCATTCCGTCCATTTAGATAATATTATCTTTAAAACATATGTAAAGCTTAACAACGAATTCCACGATAATTTTCTGGAAAATCTTTTCTTGAAGAAAGGGATAATAAAACCATTTGACCAGTATTCGGGAAAAATGACTGTTTTCTAAAAGTTTACCAAACAACTTGGTAAAATATACCAGTAACACTTGAAAAATCCATTCAAAAGGTAATAGGGCCCTCCAGCTCTTCCGTTATTTAGTTCAATACATTTTATCTATTCTCTATTGTATCTTTACAAGAGCGTGATAAGAGTCATCAGGGTAATTATTGTAATTAAAATTGACGACAAATTTGTGGAAAAAATGTTGGTATGTTAAAGTTTATAATATTGGTATAATATCGGTATTTTATAGGAATTTGCCTATTACCACAACAACCAAGCACTTGACTCGGATAAAAGAGCACATTTTGTTTTACACAGACCGGATATTACCCGCCCAGCAAATGTCGTAAGTAATCGTTTTTCTTAAGTTTTATATAGAAAATTTATTTATTAACTTATTTAAAATGTCTATACTAAAGATTACTCGATTAGCGTAAGTGTAAATGTTTAAATATGTCGAAACTTTGTATTATAAAGGGTTTTTTTTTTGTATTTGTTTTTTTTTCCATATTTTTTCATGTTTTTTGATTTTGTTTTCCATGATTTTTTTTTTTTTCATATTTTTTTTTCGCAAGTTAGCCAATTTGTATGAATAGCATGTTACAATTTCAGTATGGTCAACTTAACCATGAAGGATACATGTACATCCTTCAATCCACTGGAAACAACAATCAGCACAGAATACGGAGAGAAATAAGCTTGGGTATGTTAACACTTTATACGATTTTACAACAAGTTCAGTTTAGAAAGAATATTATGAATTTAAAGGTGATGTAATAGGCGTTTACGGTTTTGTTGAACTGATTAATTTTGTCTCCAATTTGTTCTAAATGATTTGATTAAAGATAATTAAAACCATCTTATTTGATCATATCATGAAATACTTTCATTGAGAGCTTTGTGGTCGATTTCATTTCGGAAAGGAGGGATCGATTTATTTGTTATGCCATGTATTTACATTTCTTGAAATGAACTTTTTGTTTTGATATCTATACCAAATATTGAAACAGTTTGACCTTGTCAAAAGAAGAAAATGTTGTATACTTTCAGCTGAACATCGTGCGAGAAGAGACATAAATCCAGGTACTCAATACATTGTTGAAGTCGTCGTATGGATCGCTCCTGATCTGTTTCAATTGTAAGTATGGTATTCACAGCTTCTTCTTGTATAACAAGAGCCAAGAGCGAGCCGGTCCAGCCGAATGATGCTCCTCGAATAGGTTTTGGACACAGTGAATGTAGTTTGTACGTTCGTGCCTGAAATAATGCACGAAAGAGCACCTGAGGTCTTCCTCTACCAGTATAGCTGGAACGTCGCCTTATGACCTATAATGTGTCGGTGACATAAAACCCAATCAAACACACAGTCAAACAAACATTACAAATGTGATTATCCGTTTTCTGAGATAACTGGGAAATTTTTTAATCTAAACTTATAATTTTATCATAACAAAAAAGATTTATCTTTTATGATCTATTGATTTATGAAAATACATATTTCCATTTATATTCTTTCCTTTTTTGAATGTTTCAGCCAAAAAACTCGACTTGGAGCAATAAACTCAGAAACCTCGCTCTGGTTTGCAATATTTAGAGATGCCCTTATCAGAGACGTATGTTAATATTTCTATCATAAGAATTCTTAGTTTTAAACATCTAAATTAGGATCAGGATCAGGATCAAGTGATAGAGATCTTATTTACATTGTTTAATGACATTGAGATATCATATTAGGCTAAAATGATATGGTACATAACTTGAATGTATAGAATTTCTGATTGGCAAAGACACACATCTATTTTTAGGTAAAACTTAGAAATAATAATACAAATACAAAAGCTACCGGATCAAAGTAAGGATTTATTTAGGGCCAAGATTGATAACATGATCAATTGTTAAACGCACATATTTAGTAAATTAGTAATATTCTTTATCACCAAAATTCGATAAACAAGCTAATATTAAATAAACATTGAATATTAAATCTTAAAGAGGTCAAATGGAGAATTTTTTAGTATTGCATTTTGACCCTAGCCTTCATTCTGACCCCTCAATCTTCATGTACACGGAGCCAGGTTAGCTTAATATTCCCTGCAGTATGGCCGAGTAAGTAGCTCCCTTATTATTTTGACATAGATCCCTTTAACTCTAAATGAACTGTGTCGAAATTTAAATGAGCCGTGTCACGACAAAACCAAGATAATGGGTTTGCGACCAGCATTGATTCAGACCAGTCAGGATCCATGCTGTTCGCTTACAACCCCTATAACAAGTAGAGAAACTGATAGCGAACAGCATGGATCCTGATCAGACTGCGCGAATGCGCTGGCTGGTCTGGATCCATGCTGGTCGCAAAACAATTGTGTTGGTTTTGTCGTGACACGGCTCAAATTTTAGCTTTATCGTTATTACACAAATTTACCAGGTTTACAACAGAATTGATTAAAATATAACAGACTTTCTTGTTATTTTCTACGATTAGTGATTTACTACAGCTTAATTGTAAAATATGTTTTACAAATAAAACAAACGTTGTTATAAACCAAGTGTTTTTTTTTTATTGGTGTGACAGGTTGATTTGACGTTCAAAAAAGTGTCAACAGTAAATTTACGTATACACTTAGTAGGAGGCGGAAATACTCAGGTATTCTTTATTAAATTTTTCAATTTTCAAATACTGCTTTCCTAAAGAAATATTTTTGAACAATTAATTTTGGAATTTCGATGTTATTATCCATCCTTACCACATCTGTAACAAATCTGCAAATTATTACAATGGTTACATTGCATTGTGAAAGACATGTACGTAACGCTTTGCTTATACAGAAATCAAGTGTTAACAAAGAAATATCAGTATTAACTAAGGAAACAACAAACTGAGTTCCAAGTTCTAAACTGTCGTTATTGACTTTAAAATCAACTAATAACTAATTCGTAATTTATTTCGGAAACATGGAATGCACAAGCATGTTATTTGTTCTGATTTACAGTCAGAGTCCACGACGTGGTTTGCCGATAATTACAAAGATCCATTTTTAGCTGATCAAGATACTCTTAGTGACGTCACAACATTCTTACAGAATAAAATTGGAGGTGCCATTCCAAGTTATGATCATGCCATTGTGTTAACAAGGTATCTTTACAAACTATTCTATAAGGAGAAACAAATTTGGTTATTTAAAGTCATCGATGGGTGTAATGTGTCGATGGCTGTATTTTTGTACTAGATAAACGATAGTTTTAAAAATATTTCAAATAATGAGAGTTAATAACCTCTCATTTGCAAAAGACCTTTTTACAAAACGTCTGGAATATATATTTACTTGCGCATACAAAATTTGTGTTGGAAAAAAACGTTTTCTTGTACAGAAATATAAATTTACATTGATAGACAAGTTCGTGTTAGTTTACTGTATAAAATATTACATTTTGTTTTAACAAAAACGTATATGAGCCGCGCCATGACAAAACCAACATAATGCGTTTGTGACCAGCATGGATCCTGATCGAACAACATGGACCCTGATCAGAGTGCGCGGACGCGCAGGCTTGTCTGGATCCATGCTGGTCGCAAACCCACTATGTTGCTTTTGTCGTGACGCGACTCATATATTTCACATTAGAAGACAGATCTACCCATAGTTCACCGAAAATTTAAAGAAAATAATTTTTGCCAGAAAATCTTTAAAGTTAATTATCATTATGAAAAAGAAAAAAGTCAACACATTTGAGCATGCGTGTACGTGAACATGTATTTAGTTTACCTGACAATATTTAATGTCTAATTTGACATTTGTTGCTTCACTTTTAATTCACATACATAGGCATCAAGTAATTATGAAATTCAAAATAACATAACACATTTTAATATAAGTCATCACAACTCATTTTCAAAATCCAGCTTAGCAGTAAACACACTTAAACTTTTTGACAATTCCATCATTTCCTTACACATACATGAAAACGATATTGCTGACACACATACATGAAAACGATATTGCTGACAAGCAGAAAAAATACAAACGGTATTGTTCCCATCTTCTAGCTACATGACGACGCTCAATTAATGAACTGAACAAGATCCCCTAAGTGATGTAAAAGAATTCCTTGAATCCTTCCGCATTATAGTTAATAATACTTTTTGTACATTCTACATTTTGTATTGCACAACTAAAATAAAAAGGGCTTGTAAAACATATACTTAACAGTGTCAATTGTTAAAGCTTCAGTAGGAAATCGATCGAAACTATATGCTTTTCAATTTTTTACAATTAATAAAAATCTTCTTTATTACAAAAACAAGTATCAAAAATTAAACTGAGAGCTCGATGATCAATTTTAGAATACAAGTATTACACTCATTACGACAAGTTTAATTAATGTTTTTACAAAGTTCTAAGTATATACCTTACATCTATTTTAACATATCAAATGGATCCAGGAACAAAGTGCAATCCTTTAAAACAACTTTATAAGAAAGTAGCTTCTTGTAATTCTGGAAAATATCAATTCTACCAATTGATTTTCAAATACATGTAGTAGGCAGATCGAAGTGACATTTATCCAGTAAACCCATCTGTTGGTTGTTCAAATGAGTCAGCATTTGGTCATCTGTAGATCAGCATCAAACTTTTGGACGAATATTACCAAAATGATATTTGAGCCGTGTCACGGCAAAACCAACATAATGTGTTTGCGACCAGCATGGATCCAGACCAACCTGCGCATCCGTGCAGTCTGATCAGGATCAATGCTAATCGTTATCAGTTTCTCTACTTGTAAAAGTGTTGGTAAGCGTACAGCATGGACCCTGATCAGACTGCGCGGATGCGCAGACTGGTCTTTATCCATGCTGGTCGCAAACCCACTATGTTGGTTTTGTCATGACACGGCTCATTTAAAAGAAAATCAGATCTGTTGTTACAGACCTTTATATGAAACTTTAGGTCAACAATCTTTATCAAATAAGGGAGTATCCGAATATTCAAAAGTTTTACTTTTATCCTGTCACTTGTATCAATTTCGACCCGATAACAAGGTGCCGTATATTTTTACTGATCTACGGCACTTGATCACGTGGTATGCATGTTTGCCGGACTACTTTTCAAGAAAAAATATATAAACTGTCGTTAAATCTTCTGTGTGTAGAATAACGAATTTTGGAAACGTTGATGTTTATTTTATTTCACTCTATAATTTTTCAAGTGAAATAAAAATTATTAAAAGTGAAATAAATGTAAAACTTAACTCGTTTGCGACATTAAAATAGCGTACTTGATTTGATTGTTTTGCACGTGCTGTTTGGCGCTACATTGTGACGTCACGTAAACAATACTTTAAACGTCTGTACAGCGTTAACGACTGAATATAATATATTGGTGTTCTAATTTAATTTCTTAGTTAGACCATTTTCTTTCATTCTAGATAGTTTTCACAACAAAATTCGACAAAAAATTGTTTTTATTTATCACATTTTTCAAACAAAATGGCGCCCTCAATGTGAAAATACACAGGGAGATAAGGAGAACGGCGAGTGCATTGTTGTAGAATAATGCACGCTTCGGGCCTTCTTTGTTTATATAGAAACATTTCCGATAGTGTGATTAAAAGTAGTTTGCCTAATAAAATTCTTTAAAAAAAAAAAAAACGGTGACAGGATAAATAGAATAATAGATTGGTGCCGTGGATGGAGAAAGTTTATCTGGCGAGGCGGAGGAATTTATTGGGTGAGCCGATCCAAAGTTTATCTGGCGAGGCGGAGGAATTTATTGGGTTCGCCTTCGGCTCACCCAATAAATTCCTCCGCCTCGCCAGATAAACTTTCTCCATCCACGGCACCAACCTATTATTCTCTATACTACTGTCATGTAAAAGTCTATACCATACAAAACTTATCAATGTTATTATATTATGTATTTAAACTGCGTAATGAATTTAGATCTTAAACGTCTTTATGTTGGTTGCTAAATTTTATTACTCAATCACATGTTTTGTAAAAATCCTTCTATGACAATATGCCATATTGTACTTTATACGGTTTTATGTAAACATATTTATTTTTGATGTACTAAAACAAACTGTCTTTGTGTTTATATATTTTATGTATTCATGTGTGGGGGCCGGTGACCAGAATGCTTTAAAATAAACAAAGTATAGACATTGTTGTCTTAACAATTTTAATATAAAATTATCAAAGTTTCAATAAAAGTTCTATTATTATAAGTCCTGCCACCGGAAACGAGAGCATGAAGCGTTCACAGAAATGTACATGTATTTTCTTGTACTGCGCTTGTTATTTATCAAAACACTATAATTTTATATATTAGTTTTAACCTCTGCATTAGATCATAATATTTATAAAATCATTTAATCCTTATGAAATTTATCATTTCACTAAATACGCATTTTGCCCTACCTAGAATAAACATGTGCGGTACAAAAATTCCATTTCTATGAGGAAATATTGTTAAATAAAAAACTCTTCACCTTTCGAAACTATTTATATAATAAATGACCCACGAATTGTTCCATCTTTATTCTAGGGCAGACATTGCTAAGAACACAAATGGCGATAAAAGTGAAAGACAAGGTGAGTTCATTCATTCATTCATTTTAAATACCGACTTAAAGCGTTACTTAATCCATTGCTGTTGTTTTTGCTATAAAATATGACGAATATGCTAGGGGTATTTTATGAAGTATGTGGAATGATTTGAATGCTGGGATTTTTTTTATTGAAGGACTCTGAATAGTTATTGTGCATGGCATCACTTAGGTTGACAAATATTGTAGAATATGAGAAACAATATAATTTCTAAAGACACAGACACTTTATTTGGGTGGGGGTAAAGAGGGGGTGTATAAAATGAAATAGATCCATAATTTTCCTTAATTTCATTGTTTGACATTTGTTTTCATACATGTGAACTTTTGAAATGTATATGATCAATTTCAATGAAAATTTAGCTGCTGCCAGTGGGGTTATATGCGATGACAATGCCGGAAGTTCAGTTTCTATAGCAGAGGTTTCGGGTCCATTTTACAGAAAAATTGTTGCTCAGGCTATAGGATTGGGGTTAGTAGTTTTTCGTGATTTAATATCTATTAAACGTACAATTGGTTCCATAAGGAAAAGTAAAAGCTTGTTTTGAATCAAGTATACATTAAAGTTTATATTAACAAAGCATATTCAAATATATAATATGAGGCGTTTACTGAAATGATTTCTTTATCTTCATTTTATCTAATCTTTTTAAGTTTTGGTTTGAAGTACGAGTTTGGCTCAGATATATACCGAGTAATGGCAAGAGATAACCCACCTTTCCCTGTACCAGATATCAGTAAAGATGACATATTTTCCTTCGGGAGTTCAAGAGACACAATTCTAGCTGATACCATTGGTGATTTGTAAGTAAAAACAAAATTGTTTGTAAATGTCATCGTATTTTATTATTCTATGACAGTTTGAGACAATTTTTTAAACATTTCTGTTATTGAACAGTAAAAAATGTTCTTTTTAAAAATTCACGTATTTTTCAAGAAGAAAATGTTGGGTCTTAGAACCAATTGATAAAACAATGTTTTGTTTGTTTGTATCGCTTAAAATATTTTAAAAAAATGAACCTTAATATTATTAAGTGGAACCCAGTGTTTGACGTCTAACGACGCAGGACAGGATTTCAACACTTTCATTAACGGAGACAAAATCGGCACAACTTACACTAACGACGAACAATGTGCTATATTATATGGAGCTGGATCAACAGTTTGTTCGGTGATTCTTCATAATTTCCTTTTTTGTTTGCCCAAATGTATATGGTTAATATTCTATTTTTAAAGATTCGGATAAAATGCCCTTCTCCGTTTTCGAACTTTCCCAATGGGACTTAAGAACCAAAATTTCATATTTTAAAAGGGAAAAACGATATGTCCTTAAAAAATATGTTAATCGGCGTAAAAAAGACCAAAACAAACCTTCAAACCAGTTGTATAAACAACAAACGCGATAATCTAAATGAAAGTGTATGAAATTACAAGTTTATTCATAACGGTAAAATTATGTCATCCTAAGCGTGCCATTGCACTGCATGCGGCTCATCTTGCACCCTTATGTCAGATGAAATTTCCGGCATGGGTATAACTAACGGAAACGACAGTCTGATATGGAAGAATAATACATCTGCAGGCCTCGTTACCGCCCAATGGGCGGGTCACCTCGGGACGGATATTCCGGTCCGAACCGCAAATATATGTCAGGTATTTTTTCGGGCATATTCTAAAATATTTCATTATATTTTAAATTGTTTATCTTAATTTTCAAAGCAAATTTATATCATTACAGACGTAACTATTATCTTACAACAGCGTATGAAATTGCAACTTCATTCATAACGGTAAAATGACGTCATCCTAAGCACGCGACTCATGAAATTTCCGGCATGGCTAAAACAAACGAAAGCGCAAGTTAACAATGCAAGAATAATATTATTTGTATATGTCACAGGTTGTGATGACAGAGAGACAGACAGAAAATTGTATTCACTTTAACAGTACAGATTTTTTTCATAAGGTTCAAACAATGAAAATAAAATCAACATTTAAAAATAAAGAGATTTCGTGGAGTATGAATCAGCCAACTTACACAACGTTTGATGTTTCATATTTGCAATTTACATTAAAGATTTTCATATCATGAATGCGATATATACGATGGTGATCCATGTCTTTTGGCGAGATTTGCTTAAACGTAATCTAAATAACAAACAAACAAAAAATGAATCAAATTATAGAACTGATAAATAAATAATTATCCAATTGAATTGAACCATTTCTTTCTTTCTTTCTTTTTTACTAACTAAGACATAATGAAGTTTAAGCATATGAAATAATGCAAAACTGACTTCGAATGATGCAAAATATTCAAATTAAGTTTAACGATTAAGAATGTTTTTAAAGATTTTTTTTCCATTTACAGGGAAATACTGATCCTTCAAAAACATGTTACAGTGATGTTAAATGTGAAGTAAGCGGTGCATGCAATTCAAACATAATCCTTGGACAAGAAAGTGAATGTAACGCAGTTAGTTCCTTGGTAAGTAAATATGAGCGGTGCCGTGACAAAAACCAACGTAAAGGGTTTGCCACCAGCATGTATCCAGACCAGCCTGTGAAACTGCGCAGTCTGATCAGGATCCATGCTGTTCGCCTACAAACCCTATTACAAGTCGAAATACTGATAGCGAACAGCATGGATTCTTATCAGACAGCGCGAATGAAATAATTTACGATATTTATACATAAAGTCTTGTAGGTAAATCATTACAGTTGCATATATGCTGTTCAATAATCTGACTTAATATGCTCCTCCTTACTGCAATGTTGTTAGCTGCACAGAGTATGGCTGGTTAATGTCTTTTTTAATTGTTTGATATCTCGCTTGGGTTAAGCAAGGGTAACCATTGTTTTTAAGAATTCATTACTTCTGTGTGTGCATTTATATATGTTATCAGTCTAACCCTTTTCACATTGTTAATACCATTTTGACTTTAAATATACCTTTAACTATTTACAGTTTTCACAACTTTTTGATTTTACAGCAGTTTTTAATTTATCGTTTGTTTTTGTTTTTGTTGTTATTGTTGTGTTGTACGAGTGAATAAGAATAAAGTATACGTCGAATTTATATATGACTTATCTCATATGAATTGATTTCTGTTTCAAATATATACAATATATGTTGGCTTTCACTAATTTTAGATGTTTTCAAGACAATGGTCATATTCAATTTAGATGTTTTGTTTTATTTCTTACAGGGTTGCTTCTACTCTGATTGTACGTACAATAGGGGAGGGTCAAGCAGTTCGTCATCATCATCATCGTAAGTTATTCTTTACATGAGCTGCGTCACGACAAAAAGTGCGTTTGCGACCAGCATGGATCAAGACCAGCTTGCGCATCCGCGCAGTCTGATCAGGATCCGTGCTGTTCGCTATCAGTTTCTCTTCTTGTAATAGGAAAGGTAAGCGAACAGCATGGATCCTGATTAGACTGCGCGGATGTGCAGACTGGTCTGGATCCATGCTGGTTGCAAGCGCACTATGTTGGTTTTGTCATGACACGGCTCATATGTTCATATTATTGAACTGTTGTCATAACAACATCAGTGAATACTATTATTGCAAGAAATTTCCATTTATGTAATACATTAATTTTATATGATATAAAGGTCCATTATTTCTCAGAAATGCTTTTACTTTTACGTCTCAAAAGCTTTTATTTGTTGGTGTTGCCCTGTTACAGCATCCAAAAAATACTCTTTGGTTAATGACCTGAACATCATTTGCTTTTGTTGCCTTTTGATAATTGTATAATTAATAAATACAGATATATCGATTTGATATTTTGTATGTAAGTCAAAATACTACTTTGTTTACATTTTGCTACTTTTATCAAGTTATGACAAATAATTTCGCATTCAGCGGTTATCTTCTAACATGCTCTAAAACAATAATTCAAACGTTTGAACATTAATGTTTCGTGTCTGCATAATGTGCCTTTTAATGTTTTGATAACGAGGGTTTTTTTTAACTTTTATTTCAAACACTCTATCTCATATAGTACCTAGACTTTTTTTAGAAGAATTAAATGTATAGATTAAACATGTATGTGCCATATTTTGGACTAGCATTATGTTTTGATAACAAAGTTTCTTTTTAACTTTTTTTTTTTCAAACACTCTATCTCATAAAGTACCTAGACTTTTTGAGAAGAATTAAATGTATAGATTAAACATGTATGTGTCATATTTTGGACTAGCATATCTTCTATAATGTTTTTTTCTTCTTCTGATATCTACAGCTCTTCGTCCAGTAGCAGCACTAGCAGCACTACTAGTTCTACGACGTGAGTAGACACTTTTTTACAGACTATAATTAATGAGCCGTGTCATGACAAAACCAACATAGTGCATTTGCGACCAGCATGGATCCAGACCAGCCTGCGCATCCGCGCAGTCTGATCAGGATCCATGCTGTTCGCTTACCAACTCTATTACAAGTGAAGAAACTGACAGCGAACAGCATGGATCCTGATCAGGTTGCGCGGATGCGCAGGCTGGTCTTGATCCATGCTGGTCGCAAACCCATTATGTTGGTTTTGTCATGACACGGCTCATATCTTATTATTTAAAAAAAAAACACTATCCAAGTCAAATGAGACCTGAAGTATGAAGTATATTATGTGCTTCAGAAAATTTCAATTTATTGTGTCACCGCTAAAATTGTAAAGTCTTGTCTGTTGGCGCATAGTACATATTCAATCCTTGAATTTAGTCCCGAATTATAGACATGTAATAGCTTTAACCACCTCTCTATAAAACCTACAGATGGAAATACAATATGGCATCGGTCACACAGGGTTGACTTTTATTTTGACACTTCAAATTGAAAGAACTGTTTTCTAGACATCAACGTGATGGTTCTTATTCTGTAGCAGAGTGATAGATTATTGAGTCAAACCCAAGCTTCTGTTTAAAATGTGACATAAAATTATCAATGATTTTTTTTCTGACGTAATTAATTTATTTAATCTTCTTATCATTAGCCAATAGCTCCTTATTAATGTAATTCTGACACCGAGTGATTTCCTATACTTCAAAATGTTGATATTCTGTCCATATAACATTGTTTTATTAAAATGAGCAATATTGTATACGACAAAATGCTGTCCTTTAGTGATAATCTCGTCTGTTCATTGTTATACAATGCATTAATAGAATATCGTATGAATTGCAATATTTCCAGTAAACTTTAATCAATGCTTATTTGTAAACATTGCTTTTTTCAGGACAACAATGAGTTCAGTAAGTTCATTTTGTTATAGATTTCATTCCACATTAACAGTTTACCTTCTGAAATATTCAGATCATTAAAATCCTTATAAGTACTTGAAAGGCACATCACATTTCTATGAAACTAGAAAGAAAAAAAACTTGAAGGAACATCACTATTAAACTAGAAAGAAAAATATTTTTATAACCAAAAAGAAAATGTTAATATCCAAAATTGATCATTTCAAGTTTAGACGAATCTGTATATGAAACGGCGATACATTAATTAATAAACATGAACGTATTACTGGTTGGCTTAAGGAACGGACTTTAAACTTATAGCTACCTACACATTCGAAAACTAAATAAATTATGTATAAACCAATAAACATATTTCCATACAATTTTTCTATGATAGTAGTACAAGAAGTTTCTTACGATTTACTGAAAAGCTTGACATAGTTTATAATTTCCATGTTTAGATGTTACCAAGCAGTTCTCCAAGCCCAGATTGTTGCTGTGAAAGAAGACCATTGGGACAAGTCAAAATCGATATCGTGTAAGTATACCCATTTATTTGTGATCATAATTGTTAACATGTATCTTGAAATACGAAACCTGAGATCATCTGTTTAAAATGTCCAATGTTTTACTGATTTTAGAATTATATATGACTATGCGTGAATTCAACCCGAGAATTCAATCCGGCGAAGTTGTTACATTTATTAAATTTATGACAAATGCAAAGAAATACATGTAATTTGTAATTAAAATGTTTAACAGTTTACAAGTGTTGCTGATTTTGTTTTGTAGATACATCCCATGTCCGAATGGAGAAGATTAGTGCACTGTTCATTCACTGGAGAAGCATTCAATCAGACTTCATCTTTTATATGAGTGGGATGATTGGGGATTTAAGATTTCGATGCTTGTAGCATTAAACTTTTTCTTTATATTGCATTTAATTCAACTTTTGTTACAATTTAATCGTCTTCAATACGTTCACTACAGTCAATGAAGACCGACATTGGAGCTAATGAGTGTTTACTAAATCTTTCTTTCTTTGTTTAATATTTCAACAGCTATTTGTTGTTTGCTTTCCATTTATAATAAAAATTAATGATGATGAGATTTTCATAAATTGATTAAATAATTTTCGTGGATTGAACTAAGTTGACCAATATTGTTTCAAAGCTAAACAAAACAGTTTATGAAACCAGCTTTTATTGATAGTTATAATATGTGATTGCTTTAGAATGATACATTTACATTAAATCAACGGTAACATGCTAGATTTGCTAACATATATGTTATATAAATTGATATAAGTCGGTGGATGCTACACATGCAGAAATGTTTTGTTTTGCTTTGAAATTTTGAATCAGTTATAAAGGCAGCTTTTATTGGAAGGTGTTATTATAAAAGTTATGGGTTTTTTTCTTTTTTAAAAAAACTAACTAATCATTATCTCAACATTTTAACATAATATCTGAAGCATTGTAAGTTATATTACAAAAGCAAAAAATAAAATATTTTGCCCTCAGTCATCTTATTAAGTTTTACGATCAGTTCATGAAACATTCTTATGGTGGTGGATGTTAAATGTTTTTGTTTTGCTTTTAAATGATTAAACTTGTTTAAAAGCATAACATTACAGTTTATGAAACTAGCTTAGAATGATGGATATTTATTTTGATTAATGGACTGTTGATTTTCATGCTTACAAAGGAAATTCATGCCATCTTTATAGAACGCCTTAGGTCATCAAATTTTTTGTGACGATGTACTAAATAAAGAATTTATCAAAACATTTATCTATCACTTTTTATGAATTTTCATTTACTTTTGTTCATAAATTAAAAATCATAGTTATAATACAGTTTTAGTATTTGATGAGATGGCTAAATTTCTCTACAATGAATTTACTAATCTTTATTCACGTATTTGTTTTATCAATGGTAAAATTTGCCGCTGTATGTACTATTATGACAAACTAAAATATTTTGTGAGGTGGTTTAACACTTTCGATTTTGATTTAAAAAAAATAACGTTTGATTATTTAAATACAATATATCCAAAATGAAAATACTATATAATACAATTTTGCTTTATGGTATCCTTGAGAAGATATATGTATGATAACTATAAATAAAACTATCAACAAGCATTACTTTTGTTATATTTTTCAATTGACTGTCATACATAAATGTGTTTACAATTCTGCTATAAGTAAAAATCAAAATTCCTGCCGTGAGTCGAACCCACAGCGGTGAGGGGCAAACGGTTTGAAGACAACGACCGTAAAGACCTGGCCACGGACGCCTCTTATTAATAATATACAATGAAACTATATATAGTGAGAACAGTTTTAGGGTATTTTAAGGCCATTATACCATAATTTAGGTCATGATGCAATTTTGTCCGCCTTGCTACTTGGTATCATTTTTCTATAATGGGCGAGTGATATAGCGCACTTGCAAAATGACGTAAACAACCCTCAGTGTTTGCGGGATGGCTGCTGTCATGGATTGAACTATAGTCACTTGCATACAAAATCATAGATTTAGATGACACAATCCATCGACATCAACAAAGCTATAAACTTTTTATAAATTTCTTGCCGCTAGGCCGCCAACTTGATAGATCTGTGTTCAACTTTTTTTGTTGCAATCATATGCTACATTTCGTGGATTGACAAAGAGAGTCACGTTGAATGATCAATGATGGCTTTATTTCTTTTAAAACTTCGTGAAATCTCAAGACTACTCATTAAATGTTCCCATTTTTGCAATGGTTCCGCCAATGTCAATACCTCAGTCCTTTTTCTATCCATTCTTTAATGATTAATAGATAAAATAGAAATCAGTGTACATTGCTTTAACTAGGGTGTTGTCCAACGTCTATTGATGATAAGGGTATCTTCACAAAAACCAAAAGTGGACAAGAGTCTCTGACTGACTAGCAAGTGTTACAGAAACTCTTTTAGTGACAGCAACATTTACCACGATCGTTAATGTAACGCAATAACGTAATAGAGAAGTGTGTGTTTGTTTGTTTGTTTGGGTTTTACGTCACATCGACGCAGCGTAGGTCATATGGCGACGTTCAAGCTTTACTGGTGGAAGAAGACCTCAGTTGCCCTTCCGTGAATTATTTCAGGCACGAACGAGTCACCGACGTTCCGTTAGCTAGCTGGATAGCTACCTCACATGAAAGAATTCAAAGTCCATGTTGGGATTCGAACACACAGCGATGAGGGGCAAGTGGTTTGAAGTCAATGACCTTAACCATTCGGCCACGGACGCCCCCAACAGATAAGCGTAAAAGGACAACAAGGAACGTAAACCTACCACATTTAGAAGTTAAGGAGTCCAATATTTCTAAAGAATATTTATTATTATTATTATTATTATTTATTTTTATGAGAGGGGCGTGGTTATTCACTTTGACAATAATGTATCATATGGCAACTTTTCTGACCGAGCTCGTGTCTTAAATAATTCACAGAGGGGTACCTGGGGTCTTCCTAAAAAACCTAAGCCGGAAAGTCGTCATATAATCTTAATGTTGCCGCTGTGACTTTAGGGTGTATTCCAAATTTGAATGATGTCTCATATTTAAAAAAAAGTTCATTCAATGTGTACATATTATAAACAAAATAGTAATTGCCATTGAGTACATGTATTAAAATGTTACCACCCACTTGTTTTACCAGTCAACATCCGCAACAACATCATTAACACAAGCAAAAAAAAACTTTTAACTGGGCAAATAATTTTTGCAAACATTTGTACAATCATTGAAATTAAAAACATTCAAAACATTGATACTATATGACCCCAGAGGGGTACTAGGACATGTCTGCTTGCAATATGCAATATAAAGAGGCATAGTAGTTATCCACTAAAAAGATAAGATGCGTTTTCCTATTGTATATGGACTGGTTAACGTTGGGGGCATTTCACAAGTCCTGCAATAGCTAGAATCCAGGTCCGTCAAAGAAGCTTGTAAAATATAAGCAGTCAAAGGGATGCTTTCTGACTAAATATATTTGTTTGTGTATTTTTATCATCCGCATCATTCTGTGAAGGTTCATAAAATCTAGCATATCAATGCAAGAATTTTCTGATCTTCCATCGAGTCTAATGGTCATTTGCCTCTCATCATCACATGGGATTTGAGATTAAATTTGTAATTACTTGTTAACCAGGAAAGTCAATTGGACTGACCACCGAGAGATGACCAATATGTGTTCTTTGAAAATCATTAACAGTAACAATTGTTAATAGTATACAAATACAACATCCTATTGATAATGTAAGAGCAATATGTTTATTATGTTTTTGTTTTTTCTCGACTTTCCATTTTAAAATAAGTCCAGGGTGCTATGTATTCGATATGTTGATGTAAGTGACATCAAATGGTATCATAGTATTGAAAATGTGTCAGAGTTAAATCGTATACCATACATGCACAGTGCGCTCCCAATGTCTGTCTAGAGCATGCTCGTTGATTGGCTCATTTTTTTCTTGGGTTTACTGATTGCGACGACAGGGAGAGATAACGATAGAAAAGTCATATTCAGATGCTCGTACATTGGTTACTTTTTTCTGGGGTTTAATATTGTGACGACAGGGAATATGTTTATATTTTTGCCTATGATACAAAATAGAAAGAATATCAAATCCCTTGGCAATCTGATTTATACTCGGGGTTTCCGAGGCTCTTTCTATTACTTATTTAACTGAACTTAGCAATACAGTGGAATCCCTACAGCCACCCCGAAATTAAGACCTCTCCGCTATTTTTTTACATAACAGTATTTTCTGTCAATGGTTACATGGTCCAGAATTAAGACCACCCCGCTAATCCACTTTTAAGACCACCTGATTCAGTCCCAATTCTTTGTTTTATTCTTTAGTTGAATCAACTTTTGAGACCTCTGAAGTTAAAGTCAACACCTACCTTGATCACAAATTGGTTGTTATTATCAGCGTAAATGCCTTGACTCACAAGGTGTCAAAATTGTTACTATTGTGTTATTGTATGAAATAATTTTTGAGTCACTGTGGTTTAATGTCACTTTCAGTACATTTATTATGTGTTATTAATTTCTTATATCATAGGTGGGTTATGTACATCATGTAATAATAACTATTGAAATCAGACCAAAGAGAATTTAATATTAAATTTCTTCATAAATATGTTTTGCTCTCATCAGATCTAATATTATAACATATTTTTATATTGTATTTGTAGGTTAAGATACATATTGTATGTGTATACAAAATGACTAAAATAGACCATTGTCATAAAGTATATAAGCAAAGGTTAAGAATATCCACAATTGAGACCACCCCGAAATTAAGATCACTTTGGTCCAATCCATTAAGGGGTTTTATGTATGTATAATGTTAAAAAAGAATTGTAATAATGAAAGGTTTGTAAAGGAAGTTTAAAAATAAAAGAAAATAAAGTTGCTTCATATGTGTTTGTTATTTTATTCTCCCTTATATCAACCTCAGTTATTATTTGGTGTTTCATCTTGAATGTCAACTTTTAATCAATAATTAAATATGAAAACCAATAAGATTTTATTCCCCAGGAATAAATTCTCAACTTTGTCGAAGCTTAAGGCGTTTTTAATTACTGTTTACAATATTGAATTAATGGGAAAAAACTGTTTGTTTCTAAAGAATGATTTAAATAAAGTGCATCGTTGACATGTACGAGTATGTTCGTAAATTAACCTGTTACGTCATTGACTGTTAGACCTTTTTTCTTCTTTTTACAGTTTTGTCTTAGCATAGTTCTCCAGTTAAATTATTTAAAATGTGGGCTTAAACTATTGCGACTTCATTTGATTTCGAAAACAAAAAACATAGAATGGAACGTTTTCATTTATTTGTCATTTTATATTCAGTCATTTTATTTATAAACTGGTGTGGAGGACAAAGCGATAACGATCTTCTCGGAAAACTTCCAGGTAATTGTTTTCTCACATCTTTTCAAGTAAATATTAATCTGAAATATATGACTTTAAAAGTATTAATTTCTCTTAATATTATACAATTAAAAAAATCGAGAGGTAGTAAAGAAAGATGCTTATATCTTGGACGGCCGAAAGAAATATGCTAGTAAAATTACTTTTACATTAAGAAGTATTTACTTTAAAGCTGTGGCATTACAGATAAAACAATAAAACAAATTGGGGAATAATTTTTCACATAGTTTTGAAGAACAAAATGGTATTGGGAAATAAAGGAAAAAACCCATTGAAAACACGAAAGTAAATTTTAAGTAACATTTGCAATATTTACACGGCTTAAGATAATCACTCATACAATCAGAATCCAAAAATAACTGGAAAATCTTCTACGAAGAGGTGCAAAAATGAACTCAGTTTAATATATTTTGTTTTTACAAAATTATATTTGGTTGGTATAAACTGTAAACTGAAACATATTTGTGATGTTAAAGAAATGCTTTTTAACTTCATTTTAGTCTCAGCTATTTGGGTAATTAGAAATTTATTGGTTTGTTCCTTATAAATCTGGAAATTTCTTACAGATATAGTGTTGGTTGAACAGTCTGCCGGTAACGAATATGAGTTGTTCCCCGATACATATTCGGTATGGTTCTTCCACGAACAGGAGAAAATGTTATTTGATTTAACACTAGATGACAACATAACAGAAGCTCTGTGTCCTTCTGTGTTTCGACTTGCCAGCTTTCTGCCGAATGAGCTAATGGATGAAACAAATGAAAACGTATGAATGATATTCACTTTTACTTTTTCGAAACTGAAGAAATTAGTTAGCCATAAATTATGTCTTTCACTCTAATAAAAAACTATTATTGAATTGATTAAAATATATGACCGTTCAAATATAAAAGGTTTTATCAAAAGATTTTGAGCCTTGGGCGTTTTTATCATTTTATTTAGTACATTTACACATGAGACTCAAAACTTTTTGGTTTTCCCAGATATTCATAATTAATTTTGTTGTTCGTTTATATGACAAAATTACGAATAAAGAGTGAACTATTTAGATTATCATAAAACAGAATCTTGTTTTCACTCAACCAGCCGCATGTTTTGTGATAAAACGTCATACTTAAAAACTCTAGTATGAAGCAATAATTTGAAAATGGAAAATGAGATACACATGTAGCTCTTATTGTTTATCAATGGTATCTGAATACATGTTTCCCATATCACGACTGTGCAATATTGCTTTATGAAATGGTAATCAAAATTTTCATTTTCTTTCTGTTAGAGTTGAAGGAAATGAAATTCTTACTTCTGTTAGAGTTGAAGGAAATGAAATTCTTACTTAGTTTAAACACACTTGTCTATAATTTTACAGGAATTTGCCTTTTACCATAACAATCAGCCCCTAGAATCAGACGATAGAGCACATTTTGTTTTACACAGACAAGACTTATCTAAACCTGCTGACGTTGTAAGTATTGAGTTCTAGAGATAACCACGTCACCTTCTAGTTACATCAGAATTATACTAAGGTTGATTCATAATTCTATTAGACTGATATGATTCTTCTTTTGGAATAGAGAGAAATAGAATCCCTAAAGAAAGTCCAAAATGACAAAATTGAAAATGTTGCAGGCTCGGTTTGATTGAGCCTGTTCATGGACAGTACTGGAAAGTGCAAGCTACTATCCACGCCCCCTAGCACCGACTTAAGCAGTATTCAACATTTAAACATGTAATAGTAAAACTTTGAATTTAGGAACATCCGCAGATGTGTTTCGGTTTAGGAATAGAGTGTTTTATAACAGGAAGCAAAGACAATGTACATAGCCCTAACGATTTAGAAATAATGTGCGCCTGCACCTTTCGTTGTTTATTATATTTGTACCAAACACAAACTGTTTAGCTTATACTTCTCATTTGGCGATGATAAAATTTTATAATAGAGTTTTATTGTTGGTTGAAATCAGTACTCGAATTTTCTTTTCGTTTACAGTACGGACAAATTAACCACAATGGTTATCAATATATCCTCCAACCTTCTGGTAAAGGCAATAAATATAGATACCGAGAGGTGATTCAACTAGGTAAGTCAAAACTGCATTCTTTTATTGTATGTAATGTTAATGCGATGTGTTTTCTGGGGCCAAAAAGAATATTTTTATCAAACATGCTTATTATGCATGGAGGCAGAAATGTGTGTACTTTTTCATAAGAGATGCTGCCTATTTCTTTAAATCGATTTTTATTTCTCCGGGTATATTTCTGACTCATATTTCACAATAGTTGCGATGGCGACTTCATAGCAAAGTAAACAGCATACAAACATGTGTCGACTGCACAAATCTGCAATTTAAGAATCATATATATTTATTTTTTCATCAGCTACATCAATGAAACAGTATTATCCAACATAGAAATCTATAACTGTACGATATTCAAATGCAAATTCAAAAACAGATATGGTTACACTAAATAAGCTGCGAAATGTCGAGATTTAGAATAAACTATCTGGTTAGACATGTATCGTGGAATTCATTACATGTATTAACGATCTATTGACACATTAATGTATTGATGTATTGCATAGTTACAAGGATATTTTGTATTGATAGCCGAACTGCGTGCAAAGAAAGACTTTCCGCCTATAGCGGGAGTAGACAATATTCTAGAAGTTCTCGTTTGGATTGCCCCTGATCTTTTCAAATTGTAAGTATTTAATTGAAAATATGTTTGCAAAGATCAATATATATATGAACATAGAAAAATAATATTGGTACAAGTCACTAGCAACTGTCAAAATTCCTTTAAACAATTACATGAAGTATTGCGGAACTAGAAAATCCTTTCTTGCATCTCAGACAGGATTATCTACCGTTTACACCAGTCATTTTTCCGTTATGAATGAAGTTAAGTTCATACGCTACTATAAGAAAAAAGTGCGTAATGAGAATATCAGTTTTCATTATTTCTGTTCCGAAAATAGTTGACATGTAATATGCAAGAAAAAGAATCAAACACCGGCTGTTGGTACAGACGGGAATATCTAGCTCTCGGGTAACTGTTTAGCGGAAACTCGGCAGAGCCTCGTTACCGCCGTAAACAGTTACCCTCGAGCTAGATATTCCGGTCTGTACCGGCAGCCGGTGTAAGATTCTTATAGTCTGATATGCAAGAAATAAACACGCTTTATTTGTTTATTATTATTTTTATCATATTTTTCTTTTTAAATAAATACTTGTCATCTTCAATAATATATAAGTTTAAAAGTGCACTAAAGAACAAAACAACATATTTCAGATTTATATATCGTTTTATTGGATACTCGTTTAAGATGTAAAACAGACTTCGTTCATACTTTATGCAATAAGAATAATCGGTTCTTTGTTGCTCAAAAGCTTTTGTACTATTGTAATATGTGTTTTTTTCTTTCTAAAGCACAAAATCACGACTTGGATTTGAAACTAATGAACAAACTGCTGTGTGGACAGAAACATTCCGATCAAGCTTGATTAGAGACGTAAGTTTATATGCTGCTATTAATTAGTGTTGAGAACATGTACGTGCGTGATTTTGTGATTATGTGCGTGGACGGTCGTTAAATGCGTGATTTTGTGATTATGTGCGTGAACGGTCGTTAAATGCGTGATTTTGTGATTATGTGCATGGACGGTTGTTAAATGCGTGATTTTGTGATTATGTGCGTGAACGGTCGTTAAATGCGTGATTTTGTGATTATGTGCGTGAACGGTCGTTAAATGCGTGATTTTGTGATTATGTGCGTGGACGGTCGTTAGTGAACGGTCGTTATAAATGCGTGATTTTGTGATTATGTGCGTGAACGGTCGTTAAATGCGTGATTTTGTGATTATGTGCGTGAACGGTCGTTATAAATGCGTATTTTGTGATTATGTGCGTGGACGGTCGTTAAATGCGTGATTTTGTTCAATGCTTGAATCTATACTTAATTTGATATATCTGGTTAAAACTATGTACGTATTATTAATTCTTATCTCCTCGTTATTTTCTACGATAGGTTGATCTGACGTTTAGAACGTTGACACAGGTGTCTATACGTGTGCAATATGTAGGAGGCGGAGATACGGAGGTGAGCTGTTGCACGTAATTTTCGTGCACATCTTAATGTATCTTTTACCGCATATCAGTGTTCTATACTTTTTGTATTAAACAAGATACTTTAAGATTAATACTTATCAGTCACTATTCATAATGGCTACTTTTTCTTTTGTTAGGGATACATTTAAGACAGATTCTTTTAGAAATGTATTTGACA